GCTAATGGCCTTCAAAGACCTATTTTAGAAATTGCCAAGTCGTTACATACAGTTTTAGTATGGGTATAATTATATCTGACTGTTTTAGATTATTGGTCATAAACTTAATTTTGGTGGTTAACCACAATCTCATAAATGCTAAATACTGCTGGACTCCAAATCCACAGTCTGCAGTGCCTCCATGCCTTCTGTAGAATTGTGTTTCTATGTCTGCATGTCAGCAGTTGTTTTCACATTTGCCCAGCTCAGGGAGCTCCTGTCAGCCCTACTTCCTCCAGTTTGCACTCTGCAGTCCTGGAGTGTAAACTTCAAACTTAGGCGAATTACAATGGTGCCTTTGTGTACTACAGTGTATACATTGTATGTGAGAGGGTCTCATGTTTTGTGTCATTACACCCTATTTACTTTCCATTGGTTGCCGGTAGGACTATGATCCTGGTTGCCTTGGCAACCAAACCCTTGAGCCGCCCTTCAAAAGGGGTCTTCTCCCGGTTTTCGTCCCATGGCCTGGGAATCCTGAATGCCTTCTCAGAGAGAGGCCTGTCCGCACCTCGGCCTTTCTCGGCGCCCATTGGCGGAGAAGTTGTCATCTAAGCCCAGCTCTCAGACTAGCAGGGGACCATGCATGGCTGGAGTTAAAAAATACAACCCACTGACCACACGCCTACCCCCTCCACCCGACCAAACAAGGTGCAGTTTGTTAGAGCAGACCACGGGACCTTTGTTGGTTCAACAACCTGGCGTGGTGTGTGCTTTGTGTTGGCTCAAACTGGGGCTGACATCCCTTGGCCAGCACTGAAGATATTTCTCCATGCAGACTGCTGGTAATTGGTCCTCGCTTGTATAGACGTAAAGCTCCAGGCCGGCAAGTGGTTCCACTGTTTATTTGTGTTCCAGGGGAGCAAAAAGTCAGAACCAGAGAGCAAAACCTTGTATAAACACTTTGTTCAGTGGACATAAACACCGTTTCCTTCCCTTTGCATTTATTCTAAAGCCGGGAAAGACTGAATAACAGGTTTGAAAAGTGGTGGGAGCCGGAGTTGACTGTGCAGGGTACAGACAGACAGCGAGGTTCATGTGCTGGTGACTATGCATGGCCGCAGTGCCTTCCAACCCTGGAGGGGCCATGGTAAGTTCACTTGTTCTGTTGCGCAACAGACTGTATTTGTCGTGATTCGGGGAGTGAATTGTGGTAATGGTGGTTTAGTGACCCAGACTGACTCCATTGTGGGGTTGGAACCCCCCTCGGTGTGGGTAATCACTTGGCTGAGTTTGTCCTTGACAGAATGCACTGTGTCCTGGGTAAACCTGGAGTGAATGTACAGGTCTGTTTCCCCAGTAATCGCACGGCCATGAATATATATGTAGCCTTACGTAGTAACAGAGTTAGTTGTAGTAGCTCTATTTTTGGTCCTTCGCAGCAGTTCTGGCTTTTAGATATTGGGGCATTATTATACTGGTACAAACTCCCTGTTAATGACTCCATTGTCAATGTTATAGCCTAGGTGCCTTTCTATTTACTTTACCCAGGGGCTCCCATACTTTTTTTTGTGAGTACAGTGAGTATGGGAGCCTCTATCTGCATCTTTTGTTGGAGTAAATTAAAGCAAAATTCATCAAACAGGTAAGTTAGAAGAGCAAACCTGGATTGATTTGAATTCAGTTGAAGATATCTTAAGATTTTGGACAAGGTTTTACTTTGAAGTCAATTACTGAAATTTAAAACGCAGTGATTCAAATTGTAATGGCCAATTGTACTTTAGAATGCATGGGTTAAAAGCAAGGAAAGTCTTCTTCAATTTCTGACTCTGAGCATACATGTAACTTGTTTTCTCACATATCCGGTACAGTGGTGCCTGTGATATATACACTATTTAGGAAACAGACTGTCGCTGAGGCATGGTTTATACCAGGTCAAGGCTAAAGGCATAGGGCTGGATGTCTGTCATCAACATGTAGTTTAATACTGGCATATCAGTGCCAGATTGGCACTTCACCAAAGTTTTCAGGCAGTTGGTGCCAAGTTCTATCTTGATATGATTTCATATCGGACAGATTACATATCCAGACATGGGAGAAATGTTGCAATTGTCAGCAATATGGAATAGTCCGAGATGCAGTTGAGGAAAACAGGTGTTGCATCATGTATAAACCATAGCAGATAATTCATTCTGGGAATAGAAACCTGTTGGAAGATTATATGCAATAGCCTGGGTGTCATCCTATTTGTAAACAGGGGCTCCCATGCTTGCTTGCTAAGAAATAGGGAGTGAGTATGGGAGCCCCGGCATACAAATAGGATGGCACCCAGGCTAGATATCCAAGCCAAAATAATGTAATTTCTTGAAATTGACATTATTGGTATCTATACTGCCATCCTTGATATGTGTATGGACAAATAACCTAATTTAACACACACAAATTAAAGCAGATGCAAATGATTGTCATTGGGTCAATGACCTAATGGACAAGTGAGGAAGTCTTGATACCATCTTCCTACCTGCTCCCTGAGGTGTCCCATCTTGAGGTTTCTCACCTGTCCATCAGGTGTGTTCTGTGCTGTGTCACCTGTCAGGAGGTCGTGACCTGATGGGAGAGTGTGGAGGTGTGGTGAGGAAGTGTTGATTACCTGTCAGGTGTACTGGTGCATCAGGGGTTTGTGGGACAAACAGAGGCAGGTGTCGGGTTGCGGAGGGACCAGTCACTTTATCTGTTAGCCTGAGTACCCAGAAGAAGTACACAAGAAGTCACCAAAGGTGCACAGATACTGAGATAGTCTGCTAGACTGAACTGCCAGAGAAAAAGAAGAGTACCCCGTAGTTACTTAGCCTGGGTGCCATCCTCCATTATTTCTGCTGGCTCCTAATGTCACTGGCCACCACAGACAGCAACATTTGGAGCTGTAGGAACTATGGGGGATGGCTAATAGTTACAGTTGGCTCCATTTTGTACATGTGAGTCTCCAGATGATCCCCTGTGTGCAAAGGAATTTAAAGTAGACAATAAACCAGATGTATGAAAGTGATTGAAATGCTATTAGTTTAGGAATAGGAGAGATTAACTTTATGCTAGCTGATATCCTATTCAAATTTGATGCAGAAGAGCTGAGTAGAAAGAAGGTTACAGTATCATTTACCCTTCATGTTGACACAGTCAAGTACTGTATTGGCTTTATTCTTGACATAATTACACACAAAAATAATGCTAAATTTCAACATCCTAGTACATGCATGCTAGAAGTTCAGTCTTAATTTTATCTCCCTTCCAAGTGCACTGTGAGTATGCAGGGCATCTTAAAGGTGTGTCATTGACAGATGCACCCATCGCTGGCCCAGGGTCTGGTGCGTGGGTTAAGATGGATAGGAAATAGACACAACTGTCTGAGGAGCACATCTTGGCCTTTGGCTCTTTATCTAAACAAATCCAAGTTCAAATGGAGAGTAGAAGTCAAGTTTACATTATCTGATCTGGCAGTACCAGATGGGTCAGGCAGATTAATTGTTTTAACAGCCTTAGATGAAATATAAGCATTCTGGCAGTATCTGTCTTCTTGGAAGTCTAAAAGTAGATGCTCTAGAAGTAAAGCCTTTTAAGGTATAAATAGTACCGGTTCTTTTGGGCTACAATTTTAGACACATGGTAAAGGGCTACATTTGATATTGCTTGTAATTTTCTAAACTTTTTGTGCCCTGTCATTCTGATCAATTGTTATTTTCTGCCTTGTGGAATTCTTTATGTGCAAGTTATCCAGTGTAGCAGAATGTATTTTGTTACATAGTAACTTCTTTACTAAGTTTTAAAAATGATGACATCAGCTAAAGAAGCTACGGTATTAGAAAATTGAGTCAGCTTCAGTACATCAGCTTTAGGCACTCTTCTTATTATGAGCTCCAGGTAAAAGTTTATTGACCACATAGACAAAGTTACAAGAGGTAAAAGATTTTATTGATAAGGTAGCCTTTGTATTGTTATGTACCTGTACCAGCTGATTACACAATCTTCACTAACTAACTCACTCCCTTCCTCCCCATTTTGTCTGACCTTGTGTTAATTTACAGCAACCATAGTATTTCTGCCCAGGTTTGTACCTTCTAAATGTTGATTTAAACCAGTATTTATGTCTTGGCCTTTGTCTAGTCTCCCCTTTTGTGTTTCTAGCAATTATCTGGGTGATCCCAGAGCGTGAAATTTTCCACTTTACACCATATTGTCACAGTTCATTAATTAGAGATTTACTGACATGTAATGACCTAAACAAATGGTGGGAGTTATCAGGTCTTTAGAAGCCTTTGAAGTGAGAGGGCTAAACCATCAACACCCTGTGAATGGGTGGAGCAGATCTATTGACTGAAGGTGTGGTAGGTGTTACTAACTTTGTCATACTTTTAGAAGTTGCCTCAAGAGTTTTGCCAAGCACATGTGATGTCATCCTTCTCTTCTCAATAAGTGTGTTGACATGGATATAGAAACAATTAAAAATTAATTGAAAATTTGGAAGCGTTCATCTAGTTGCTTTACTTAGTTTTCAGAATTAAAGATTTGTGTTGCTACCTGTAGGTAACGTGATTATGTATTTAAAGTAGACTGTGTATGTGGATCATTAGAAAAATTCAGTAGATCTACATGGTTATCGTTTTTGCATTGGACAAAAAAGTATGTCTTAATTAGTTACTGAATTAGTGTATATATTGCTGAAGTATAAGTTGAGTTGGCATGCTGTTATGACTTTGATGTAACCTTCAAAGCTGGAAAATCATTTGGCATGTGTGGCCTTCCACATGACATTGGCTGTCTTCCTGCTCTTTGTCTGGCTTGATCTCCTAATAGTTTCTATATACTGTACAAGACTACAGTAACCTGTGCAACCCTCCCAACCTATGCAACAGTGTACTTTCCCAGTTGTGAGGAGACAGACATCCTGGTGGGGCTAAGCAGGGCAGTCAGGCAGCAAAGTAAGTCCATGTGGGCCCCAAACAGTGGCGGCTTTGTTGTCTCCAGATGGGCATGTTTTGGCCAGATACCAGATACTGCAAATATTTGGTGCCCAGAAATTAGCCAGAATTTCTGAGATACTTTCAGGGGCCCTGAGCGATCCCCAGCTATTTGCCACATATCTGAATCTCCCTCCAGCCAATGGGAGCCCTGGAGGACTGCATAATTGTTGAGCTAGGGTCAGGTTTGTGGAGGAAGTCGGTATTGTGGCTGCAGGGTTAACATAGCTGGCGGGATTACACAGGGTCTGACTCCAGCAAGGACAGGCAGCTTTTACAGGGCCAGAATTCCTGGCATTTTTGGCATCCTCTGCAACCTGGGACCCCCAAACAAATGGGGGGAATTCTGTGACAGGTCGCTAGGCCCCAGTCCAGGCAGAAACAATGTGCAGCCTGCAGTAGAGTTGGCTCTGGGAGAGATTCTTTTGCACCTACAGCTCGGAAGTAACCTCACTCTGCGTGCCTTAGTGTTGACATGGAGTCTTCCAAGTCTGAACCTGGCAAGTACTTCACTCTGACTATATAACCTTAGTTTGTGCAATCTTAGCTCGAACTTGATATGCAATCACCTAAAGTTTTAGAGTACATATTTACTGTTTACTACACAGTGTCTTCGTGTAGACTAGTGTAGGTCCTGTTATGTCTGAAGATATGCAGATGGTAGGGGGATGAGGTAATGGTTAACCTCCATGAAACCTTGGGGCTGTCTGTGCACTTTGCATCAGTCTGAGTTGGATGTTTGTGGGGTAGAGGGGGAGAGAGGGGGTCCCACAGTAAATAAATCAGTTCAGATTTAGATTTTAGGTATGTATTGAGTACTTCTTGAGATTGGATGTTGAAAGAAGCCACGTGTACAGGACATGATTATTATTTTGCTGTTATCATTTGTTTGTGTACCTAACCTCAGTCATTGTGTCAAGAACAATATATCAGAAATATTTCCTTGCCATAAAATGTTACCTTGTTTTACTTTATTGGTTTGATTCATTCGATGATCCCCCCTCTACTCACAGAATAGGCAAGCCCTCCAAGAGGATGACAGTGATGTTTTATCAACTGGCAGGATAGGAAGAAAATAGGGTCTTTGTGATGCCTAATGTTTTCTTCCAGCAGGCTAATAGATTGGATAGGGTAATTACAGGGTAGCAGTACAAATTGGTTGCCTCAGTGGGGGATTAATGACCAGCTACAACCCCAGACCCCCAGGGAATGACATTGATATGGGTACCTTGAGGTTATATTACAGTACTCAATCAATGTGTAGTAAGATTTACAGGGACTGTTCATTGGTTAAAGTGTGATGTGTTTTTTAGGACTTTTACTTGACCACTAACTAAGTGAAGTATTATTTTCAGCTTCTCTGTCTGTGTGTATGCCTGTCTGTGTCTGTTCATTATTTTCTACAATTTCCTGTATACACAATGCAGCATTGTCATTAGCAGTACTGTATAGTGCTTTTTTTTCTGGAAAGGCCACAATGCAGAATGGGTAAGTGTGTGAAGTCTGCCATATCTGATTTCCATGTTTTGGAAAGAAACTCTACAGTTTGAAGCAAGGTATCTAAGAAAAAAATTAGTGACAATTTTCATTTCAGCAGTATCTCAGAGTTAGTTAGTATCTAGTGAGGATGCTCCTACTGTACTTGATGGCAATGCGTCCCACTCTACAGCTATTCAGGGAAAAATAAATTTTTGTTTGTCTCTCCTGCACAGCTCTACACAATGGGGACTGCAACTCGCGACCGCCCCCCTCCCCGCGGCACTCGCCGGTCCTGAAGGAGCAGCCCTCGAAGGTGGAGCGGCACAGACGGAGCACGGAGAGGCGCGAGCTGTCGCACGTCCTCGGGATGGACGAGGACCAGCGAGCCAAAGTCGCGACCATGAAGTGTGCTGGCACACAAACGTGAGTACATAAACAAGGAAACAGGGATAGGTTGTGGTGTAATTTCCTTGAGCATATTAGCCCTGGAACCAAGGAGCTGGCCTGTGTAGGCACTAGAAACAGTGGAGCGTGTAACTTTGGAGAGAGACTGGAAATTTTGAAATTTGAAGAAGCTTCGAACGTTTGTATTTCATCCTGATAGTGAATTTAGCGTGAAGTTTTTCACAAAATTATCTTTTCAAACTTGAAGTGATGGGTTGAAAGTGTAAAAACTTCAAACTTGGGCCTGGTCACCTAGTTGCCATTGATACCTGAACATTTGTGTTTATAAATACATATATCCTGGTTCCTAGAGATGAGTTTGTTTGATGTGACCGCCTCTGTTGAGTTTGTTGGGTGAAATACAGTATTTTCAGACGCATCAAAGAACACAGGAAGCCATTAAGGTCAGAGGTCAGACATGTGCAAACAGGTTGGTTGGTGTTATCAGCATACAGTGGTCCTCAGGCCAGTGTAGGCACATTATGAATCAAACATTGTGTCAGAAAGTTCTCAATGTATTCCAGATGGCAACCATTGAACTGCTTGCTCTCATTTTAAAACTGTTAAATCAATGGGGCAGTCTATTGTAAAATGGCTGAAAATTTGCTGCATTTTTGTTCTACTTGGCCTCGTTGCTTGTTGTATAAGAAGACAACTTGTCTAAGATTAAGAAGACCACTTTTCCGGTCCCCTGGGTGGTCATGTCTTAGACAAGTTTGACTACATATGTAATACTTGTGTCAATGGGAAAAAATTATCTACATTAAATTGGGCTAGGTGGTCCTTAGGAAGACACAGTCAATTGTACTACAGGTTTGACAGAATAGGGACTGGGAATGAATGCCATAAGTTGACTCTACACAGATACATGAATGCTAGCAGTAAATTTGGAGGCTGCAGACATACACGGAAAGTAGAACCAAATGTGGGAGAAACCAAACAGGGTGACCCTAGCCAGTTCAGGCCCCTAAAACACAACAGGCACGATGGTCAGATTTGGGCCCCAAAGTCCCACTCCGCTACTATGGAGATCGAATCCCCCGAACCCGCGAATCTTGTTCGATATGACGTCATTCGAATAGAGTGGGCGTTCGATCCGGGGTTACCCGCGGTCATTTACAGTAAAGTCGCTACAACCGGCTACTTCAAGCCCTTTTTTTACTTGGGAACCACGGAACAGGAAAAATCCACCTTTCCACAAATATGAACCGTTTTCAAAACATTACATCTATGCCGTGATTTTATTGTGGATATGTAACATGTAACGAAGCTACTGCCGTCATCGTGGGTGACCTTGAAGGTCAGAATTCTTGTTGACGCTGTTATAAAATCCAGGTCCCCATATCCAAGTGTCATAGCACGCGTGCAAACATGGTATTTTAACCATTCCCAAAAATCGCTCAAATTACCTCATTGAGGTCTTGTTTGGAAGAGGAACGATTTCCGCTAGATTTCTGTCTTAGGGATTTTTTAAATATGGCCGCGATTATGAATTATCGGTATTTTAAGTTAAAACACTGCGTTTTTAGCTCTTCTTTTGACTGTAAGTCGAGTTTTAGTTAAAAAATAAAAAAATCCTAAGACAGAAAGTTTAAATTTAGTGTAATATTTCTAAAAATCCAAAAATCTAAACTTATTTTTAATTTTCGGGGCCACTTAAAAACAGTTGTTTGGTTCTCGTGAACCCTTTTTGAAATCCGAAATTGATCTCATTTGGAAGCAAATGTACACAAAGTGGAGCAAAGGCAGTGCAAGAATAACATTTGAGGTAAACAAAATCACTTATTACATTTTATTTTGACGAGTATTTACTCTCCAATTACTTTTGTTTATTTTCAAATTTTACCCGTTGCCCCCGGGCCGGCCCGGGACTCCCGCGCAGCCACGTTCGAACGCGTTCTGTAACCCGATACCTCCCTAGTAATGCGACTTTTAGCCTAGCAACCGACCGCCGTGAGGGGAGCTGGAGACTAGACAGTGATGGAGATGGTTGGTGATGATAGTCCCACTACCACCTCCTAGATCCTCAGGTCATGACTTTGGGGCTTCATTTTCACACAATGAAATTCCTGTCAGTGCCCGTTAAATTGTTACCAGTGGACTAGCCCCCTGCTCGAGAGCTTGCGCAACTGTGTGGCCCAAGGGCTATAGAAGTGGCGAAAGGCTCCACAGTATATACCAAAAGGGTTTTAACGTTTTCTAAACTGATATTTTAATTGCAAATATTGTAACAACAACTGTGTGCATAATAAAGTGTTTGTATTCATTCAACATCTGAACATGTTATTCTGCTGGTGTGCATGTTACAAGTACTGGTAGTCTTTATTATCTTTTACTTTGGTTTTCGTGTAGCAAGTGACCAAGGGAATATAAGTTAACCCAGATAGCTAAATTGAATGACAGTTTTCTTAGCAACCACTAGGTTCACTATAGTCCCAGCTAGATATGAATGTGGTATGATACTAACTAACAAAGTACCACTGAACAACTTGGTTTCCTGCTTGATATAACCCAAATTTTCCAACAGCTTAGCATGTTTTCTGGTGATCAATCATTGTCAAAGATTCAACTAGTGTTCAGGTTTTTCAGGTTAGCAAACCTGTATGTATGGTTCTCACACATTGTTACTGTCTGTCTGATGTTCAATGACCCAGAACTAATGGCAAAGTTGATGGATACCAACAAATGTAGGTACTGTACTAAGGTAGGATCATTATTAAACAAAGCAGTAGGGAAGATGATTGCTACCTGTGCGGCATGGCCTGCAGGCCTGTCCATCAATCTTTAAACAGACAGCAGACCTGATCTGTCCAAGGACTATATCAGTTGTTATATAATCATTCTACCAACAGAGTTGATATCCCATCATACTGAAATTTCCTGATCATATTAACCTGAGTATTACTGAACTGTCCCTACCTTAGTAAAAGGCTTTGGAAGTCTTTTGAACTGAGAGAAGTGCTATTCTAACCTAGATTTGGCATTGACAAAATATTTTTTCTAGGTATAAACGTAAAGTATTTAATTTTCTTGTCAAAAACTCAGACTCCAATCAGGTATGCTTTTGCTTAAAAATCACAGGGATAATTCGACCCGAGTTTAGAGATATCCTGATACACTACAGGATCCCTTTGGCACTTTGCTGACTACCCACTGGATCCCCAAGCTTTAATTTGTTTGTGTACAGTGTACACCATTGTGGTCGCTCTCTGTTGTTGTGTTTGGTAAATGTTGAGTGTGGTGGAGGGAAACAGGCACTGTGGTATTGTTGTCATTACATCATTTCAGCAGTCATGCACAAAAGATTGTTTCAACCCCCTCCACTTTGATCTGTCTGTTGGCTTAGATTAAGAATGTCTTTGCTTGTTGTACTGTAAATATATATTGTCAAGCACCAAGTAATGTACAACCGGTAGCAAAGATGTGTTTGGTAGAATATTAAGTCAAAACAAGGAGCTTCAACATGTAACGTCATTTGTCAAATAAAGCACGAGTGATTGCATAGATGATAGAGTGATTACCTACAATAGTGCCTTTTACCTGTGATTACGTCTAGGTAGCATCAAGTTAGGACGTTTTAAACATGATGTAAGAAGTTAGAAATTTGTGTCTAAAATAAAGCACCCTTGGTTGCATAGAGTCTAATCATATCTTTTTCCTGTGATTAGTTAGCTTCTAAACATGATATTAGAAGACATTTTCATTTCGATTCAGAGCTCCTGTATCTGCCATTTGCCCCCAGAAGGTCCAACCCTTGGCCTGAGCCTGAGATTTATTTTCAAAAGTCTCTGAAGAGCCACCTCCCTGTAATCCCATGTTAAAAAGGTCAGGTCTTTGGGTTCCCCCCAGTGCCAGCACACCTGGTGCAAGCATGGCTGCTATTCCTGGCATGTCTCAGCGGACAGGATCTGTCTGGCTGAGTATAAACAGTCCAGGGCTGCCGCAAGGTAATGCAAGGTTTCACAGACAGTCAGTCAGTCATGCTCATGTAGGGAAAAGTTAGTTCTGGGTTTCACAGCTTCATTGACAGTTATGCAAGGAAGCAAACCTCATAAATTCACTGCATGTTTGCTGTCGCAAAAGTTTGCAGTCTGAGAAAAGTGGACATGTTCACGGAACTATATGTTCATGGTGGCAACAGGTGCAGGAAAAAGAAAGTTGGTGAATTATTTGTTCACAGTTTATGATAAGTTTGCAGTTCAGAAGTGACTGCAAAAATTGCGAACATAAAAGTTCTGCGAAAGGTGGTGAATTACAGCACTAGTTGCAGAGTTGGTATAATTGTGAATATAAGTGCTTCTAGCATAGATGATTGGCAAAATGCTGTTGTGAATACAAGACACGATATTTCGGTATACCCTATCAAACTGTACACATTATATATAGAGTGGAAGGAACCATCCAAACATCCTCAGATGGAGTCAAGTCCAATCCTGGTTCATGCCTGTTCTCAGTGATACAAAGATTATGCTTACATAAGTCCTGTGGAGATCTGTATTATAAACAGTCCGGATCCTGTTGGAGAAGGTGTGTAAATGCCACCGAACCTATACCATAACAAGATCTGAAATCTTGAGACTGTAAAGAGCGTCCAACGAAAACAAGTTATGCTGCACATCCTGTGATGACTTACTACACACACCCTGCCATTAGGCAAGCTAAGCAGTCATTTATCTTTCCCTCCACAAGTGTTTTTCTCCAACCGAAGACAAATTTAGCAACTGTTTGTGAGGCTCTTGACAGGTCACTGCAACATTTTCTCTGCACCAGGCCCCACGTGAAAATGCTGTCCAGAAATGTATATTGCCCATACATGTACAGCGGTAGAAATCCCTTTTTCAATAATCTGCAATATTGCAGATGACTCCAAATTTTGTCCTGCAATTTGGAAACACTTTCTGCAAGTAAACAAGCCTTCGTATATACTACAACCTTCTCTTACGAATACTGAAACTTCATAATGCAAAACTGCAGATTGTAGGATTTTTCTTCTGCAACACTGACATAGTTCTCTCTGATATATGTCACTTTACCTACTAATGCTAATAACCTACACATTGTACTAGCTCCTTCCTTTTTCCTGACTAACCTTAGGTAACCCTTGGGCAAAAAGGCTAATCTCATTCAATAATTGAGTTCAACAAAAATCCATTTTAAGAAAATGTTGCAGCACGTACTTGCTATTATGATCTCAATATTTTTCTTTCATACCAGCTGATCATTTCAATTTGATGTGACAGATAAAACTTGTAAAAGCCTTTTCTTCTTTTAAACAGGTATATAATACACATTATATGTAGAAGGATTCCAGATACTTGATATACATGGACTGGCATGTGGATTTCATCAGGCCAGTTTTCTGTCTGGTGCAGGAGCTGAACCCCTGCCCTTTTATTACATTCCTTCACCCCAATATCCTGCCCACAAGCCACTGGATTCTACAGATACATGACATGTCTGCCCTCCTGACACACCACAATCTTGAGGTTGTGGTTGACATTCCCTGGAGATAGCTCTATCTAATTGAAAAGGGAATCTTACTAGAGGAGGCTTCATTGAGAAATTTGTAATACTATAACAATTTTTCCTGCATTTTGATTGGGACAGAATTTCATTGGCTTCATTTGGTGGTAGTTTTTGGGACTGTCACTGTTGACGACCTGATGAAAAATGTAATGTCACATTCCTGAAGTTTTCATTTTCGTCTGTCAGGGGAGAAAGAAAATGATAGAAATTTTTCATCAACAAATTCCAAACAGGAACAGGATTGAATCATGCTGAAGAGTGCTCATTGGCATCCAAAGAATTAATACGAATATTACATGTAGCTTGCATGGCCACACTGTAATTTCTGATTTTTTTCATGGTACTTTTATGCTCATGGTTTTCACTTCTGTACCATGAACTCTTCATTACTGCTAACAAATCGATCACCATTCTTTTTCCTGCACCTGCCGCCACCTTGAACATATACTTCCATGAACACCTTTATTTTTCACAGACCATGAAATTTTGCTACCAGGAAGATAAAGTGAACTACAGTATACTGTTACATCCCCAGTAACCTTCCTGACATGATCACATCCTGGGTTTCACTCCCTGGAGAGATCAGGGAATCCTCCTGGTATGCCCTGAATGCTGCCCCCCTCCCCATCTATTACATGCCTCTCATCACTGTCATATCATCACATCCTAAACAGACATTTTTGCTGTGGTCCATCCTTGGGGACAAACTCCCAGTGGAACAGGGCATAGGGCTCAAGGCGGTGGTACATACATTCTACTTTCTGGTTTCATGCCAGTTGTGGGACACTGTCTTTAATAGGATTACTAATGCCTGAAAAACAACAGGTCATTGGCCTTACTTGATATATACAGTGCTAAGGTAATCAAGTACAACTGAACATATATACTAATACATAGTACATGTAATAGCTAAAATCTGCAGTTTGAAGAGAATCTGACAGGAGCTAACCCCAAATCTTATTGTTTTCCAATTATTTACATGTACTGGAAGAAAGTAAGGGGAAAGTCACAAGTTTATTTTGTTCACCAACAGAACTAGATTCTAATGTTACTTTTTTTGTGTTTTCTCCAGGCATCTAACGTCAGTAAAAGAGACAGCAAATCTCACAGACGAGGCCCTAGAAACGATAAATAACATGGAAGCCTTGGACAGAGAAAGACTGTTGATGTCGATGGCGTCCAAGCCGATGCTGATCCCGATGTCGAGCCTCCACAGCCCGCTGCCCCACCCGCCACAGAGACCGTCGGTCATCACGTGTGCGCCGGCGTTCAGCCGTGTCTCCCCTCCCCCCGCCGGCAACGGCGTCTCCACAACAGTGCAGGGCGCTGCCAGGAGAGAAATCATCACCACGGGTAGGTTAAAAACATTCTTACGTTTCCAACCATGAACTTGAAGAAATCATTGCCACTTGTATAACACAACTTTCATACCTTTTCAATCATGAAGAAATCGTCAGCACTGGTACTCAAAGTGGTAGGTTAGATCCTTTTGGCATTTCCAATCATGAAGATCTTAGAGGCAATAATCGTGTTGAGGGAAGATTACTGTATTTTTCTGTTTTTATTATTTTTTGACAAGTGATAAGTTTCCTTCTAGTCATCTTGAAAATGTAGCATGTATTGTTGAATGGTTAGGAATCCTGCTTCTGGACATGTACAAATTAAGTGCTTGCTGTCACTTTTAACCTGTGTGTACTGATATTGTATGTTTATCTTTGTTGCAAGTTTGAGAATTATTTTTTGATCAGTAGAAACTTCATAAAGCTACATTTCTATCAGAGATAAAACTGCTATTATATGTGTCCTCCCCAGGAGTGGTAGACCCGGTGATAGAGGAGCACTTCCGGCGCAGCCTGGGGAAGGACTACAAGGTGGAGGAGCCGCCTGCAGAACCGCCCCGCGCCGCCTCCACACCACCCGACCCCAACAACGTCTCCATCACCGGCTCCGTGGACGATCACTTCGCCAAGGCCCTCGGCGACACATGGACGAAAATTAAAGCTCGTAAAGAGTCTGTCAGCAGTAATAAATCCAGTCCGCCCCCCTCCCCACACCTCCCCGCTAGCCATTCCACTCAGCCATTACTTTCCGCGTAGAGGGCTCCTACATGTGATGTAGATAGAGTTAGGATGAGTTCAACACACCAGACTGGCTTAGAATCGTTTTCCTTCACTTGATGTTCCTGTTGTGTGTTACTGCAGTCAGTCCTTGGTCAGCTGAAAGCTGTTCTGGACATTCCAACTGTTATATCCTCTTAGCTGTGCTTGAGGAGGGTCAGAGTGCAAGCCATTCTGCCCGAGATCTTTTTATGAAAAAGAATCCAGTATTTCCTGTACCCAGCTTGACAGGTAAAGGAAGATAGCGTAAAAGAAAAAGAGAGAATATCCTGATGATACCATAGAAATTCTTCCTTCTTGCTTTCTCTACTGTTAAAATAACATTCCTCAAATTGTGTTTGCTCTGCTGTATGACATAGCTCTGTAATTACGCTGGACGTATCTTTCGCCACAACTGGCTCTGCTATTTCAAAATACAACTGTATGTATAGTCAGCCTGGTATCCATCTCTGTTCAGCTTGATCTGTCCTATCCAGTGTCTCTTGCATATAGGACTGGATTGGGCCCAAGGAGCTACATGTGTATAGGGATAAATATTAGGCTAATGTACAATACCTTTGCCTTTGTTTAAGACTTTGTAACCAGTCTTTTTGCACAATGTAATTTTCAAGGGAAAAAAAACTAGATTTTGATCATCCACTCGACTTGACAGTTGTCTGATTAAGACTTTTTATTTCATACACATGATACTGCCCTATACAGGTACGCACATGTACATCTTTTGAACATGCAGCAGTGCTCCTTGCAGATTATAGTAGAAGTGCAAACGATTATAAACGTTGTAAGACAAACGTTCTCTTGGAAATTATATGAACAGATCTGTGTATGGTTATACGATATGTATGTTTGTGTATACACAAGTGTATAAGCAATTAGAATTATACTTGGAATTGCACAGAAATCTATACAGAGTTGCTACAGATGGATTATACGGATATCTGTGTAAAAAGATAGAGGAGCTATTTTTGTAGATTTGCACCTAATGAAGAGTCCCTGCTTGCATTCCAGTTAACCATTGTGACATGTTAAGGACCTAAATGTAGAAGTTCAGTCTTCAGCAGTCTCAGAAAGTGCCTTTAACATTGTTCTGAATGGCAAAAACATTTGACAAATTTGTGCATCACCTTTTCATGATCAATACTAAACGCTTCAGTTAAGATGGAACACTTGCATGCCAAGTGAGTACTGTGGATATACATACAAACAGAAATTCTCTGTCTAACTTGATGATGTACCTGGACATGTTAAGCTTAAATGTTTGTGTTTGTTCTTCACTTGCTAGATTGAAATGCATAATAAGCATTATAAAGCTTTATTTTTAGTCTGGAAATATTGAAATTAAGTATCTTCCAGCAGCATTTGTACATGTACATGTAAGTGCCTACCTACATTGTAACGATACCTAGCTATAAGCTATAACGTTAGAGTACATTGGGTAAAGAACAAACTGTTTCTGTAAAGTAGTAGCATTGTATGGAGGGGGAGGCTTCTAATTTCATTTTGTACTTCTGACTAAGCCAAGAAGAAATACATTCCTGCATTTAAAACATGTTATTGTTGAAGGGATACTTGGAGCTAGCCTGGGTGCCATCCTAGCTAGTTTCTGTGGCTCCCATACTTGCCATCTGTTGGTTATAGGTGAGATTAGGAGCTGCAGAAAACTAACTAGGATGGCACACAAGCTACGTTGGATCAGTCTATTTGTCAAATGCTGCTTGTGCATAAACAACATGCAGTGAAAAATTGTGCAACGCTAAGTATGGGTTGCTTGCCTGTGCCTTAGCTCCCTTCACAGGATGCGCTACTGTTAAAAGTGTGTATAAAAGCAAGCACTACCTGTTGAATTTTTTTATGCCAAACACTATGTTTCCATGTCTACATATTAATGACTATACATATTTGTGCACTTATTGATTAGCATATCAAGTGTTGATTAACCAAGTCTTGCTGGTAACCATAGTTACCCAATTTGAGAGAAACTTTTAGAAGAAAAAAAGCACTTGAAATTATTGTTTTTGTTAAGAGTACTGGTAACTACAACATGGCTTGTAGTCAAAGTAAACTACCTGTAAACTAGACTGAACTGTTTTCTTAGGTTGCTTCAGTACTAATAGCAGATATTATCAATGGTGTGAGACCAGCTTTGGTCATGCTAGAAACACCAGTGAGAAACCTATCGTTTTTTTTCACATAGCTGTTGATGCCAAGTGTGTTTGTGTATGCAGAGCCTACTATCAGATATTGTTGCCGTTTCACAAACACAAAATGAAAGATGTGTTATATTTAGAAGAAGTTCACCTGTTCCAATGTTGGAAGCATGTGTTATCTTAGTCTTGCTGCAATGCATGAATAAATTGTACAGATTATTGGAATGACACTCAACTGCATGTCTTGCGCATTTTTGTGCACAGTTACTGACTGCAATTCACAGCTGCCTTAGATGCATCTAACATACAATAACAATACATATCTAGATCTAGATAGCTAACATCAATTATTAACATACCTTTTCGGTTCATGTATAATTTTGCAGCCACCTTTAGTACAGTGACGTAGAAATCATTCACAATTGAATATACTCTGGTCAAGAAGGTTATATCCATATATCCTTAATCTGGCTTGTCCGTTTCACCATCTAACACCTAATACATTAACACGTTTCCTAGTTTTGTATGTACCATTAACTGTGGCATTTGTGAAAGAACCAATGCATAAGCAATGTGTTTCCCATCACAAAAGTAGCCTAGTTTTACAGTGGTAGACTGTCAGCTCAATGTCTATGTGCTTCTGAAATATTTTCGTACTGCAGTGAAGCACAGTAACTTTCCTGTATGTTGTTTCTTTGCCTTAATAATGTTGTAGCAAGACTAGTCCTCCAGAAACTCTTGCCCGCTGGTATGGTGCAGAGGTACATGTTTGTCAAGGGACTTCCTTTATACAATTTATAGACCCCCTCCAATAATTTAGCTTTACAATTACTAACCATTTGTATCTCTTTATATAAAGTTATATATACATATCTAAAACCAGTTACAATTCCAGAATTACTTTTGTACCTTAGCATGGAATGTAACTGCTAGGATAATCTAGGACAGAATGTGTGCCCTTCTTTTTTATCACTGTTGAACAGTGTTTATATAGATTCGTATCATACTTTATGGAATACCATATTTCTATTCCTTTAGAAGATAGCAGGCTATGTATCCTACTAGACTAACTTGTACATTCCTTTCTTTCCTATCATTGATGACAAGATCTGTGATTATGATGTCTTTTTTTCCAACGTCTATGTTAACATAAACAGTAACGTTATATCTACATCATGTCTTCATCGTCACTCAGCTCCCAGATCTGGAAAAGAAAACGTTCTGTTAGAAGTACCAGTGAACAAACAGCAGAACAGGGTATGATTGTCTAAGAGCAGGGTACGACTGCCACCACAATTCATGAATACGGCAGTGCCTCCTGGAGCATACAATGTACACTGTAGCTAGACTGGAACATCCCATTCATGCAGACACTACATGAAACACCTTATATACAAAGACATTGAATGGCCTGATAACCAAACATTGTCAGCACTACAATGGGTGCTATCTTGCTAGAACTAGACAATAGCTGAACAAGGCTGGATATCAGGCTATTGAAGCACAAGACACGGATATCTGAGGCTATGTACACACATGAAACTCCAGGTGATCACTCTGGCTGGTGGATTGCTGGTATCAATCAATAGTTTTTGGCAAAGTCAACTGTCAACAATTAGACACTGTCCATTGTATTTCAGTTGCAATATATCATCATGGCAGGCATGTCAAGAAGTGATATGGAAGTTATACGGGTATCAGTCTTATACAGCATGTATATCATGCAAACACAACTTGATACACAATAATATTCGTTCTGGTTATGTACTGACTACCAGTACTGGTAATGAAGTTTACTACACATGATGTTGCAGCAGCGCCCCCTACCTCTGCCTCCTGAGTCTCCAGGTGCAGCTGAGTCAGGCCTGTCAGGTTCTCCAGGTACGAGCTCGGAGAGTTGAAGGCCTCCAGCAGGAACTCAAAACCATCACTCTCGTATTTCTGTAGGACCTGTGGAATGTGACAAAACAGTTTCCTTAGAATCAGTTACATGGATGTACTGCTTAAAGTCAAAACCATCACTCTCATACTTCTGTAGGACCTGTGCAACGTGACAAATCAGTGTTCTCTTAATCCTTGATATCAGTTACAAAGATATACTACATACATGTATGGTTGTAACCAGTAGTCTCACACTTCTGTAGGGGTTTAAGGCTAAGACATGGGAGGCTCTTTTTTGGTTTCACTTTTTTTTTTCTTATCTCTTCTTAATTATCTAACGTTATAACCCTAAGGAGCGAAGGGGTTGGCTAGATTGGACCAACCTAACATAGGTTTCCAGTACACATACAAATATTTTTCAGGTGCCATTTGGAACAAAATTTGTATTGACTTCACGTACCTGTAAGTAAAATACTACAATGACACACATGATCAAGATGAAAACATCTTTCAAGTAATGAAGGAAATGACACATGACAGTACTCACCAGTTCAGAACAGGCAGTACATCTGTTGAACCTGATGCTTGCAGGCAGGACTGTGTGGAACCTGGACAGGAACCCTCGCAACTGGGGAAATAGTCATTGTCAGATGAGCTTCTAGAAATAACAACCACATTTTCCACAGAGTTATGACATTTTCATGTCAGTGATATATATGCTGTTCCAAAGTAGTATAATCAATAAATCTGAACTGAAATCAATACATAAAATCTTGTGATAGCAGTCTTTAGTGTAATACAGATACGGGCCTAGCTGCCACGTCGCATGCCTGCAAAGCTGGTGTGTTATGCCCAAGGGTGGTTATATCAGCTATGCAGACACAGCAACGAATATGGTGTTATGATCCACTGACCGATGCAAGATCATCACATAAAAGTCATATAGGTGACAAATTGACAAGCCTTTGAATATATTGAAGTTGTACAACATAATCAAGTAATGGTTACCTGATGTGGCACCAGGCCCAGTGGTGAGGTGTAGTCAGCTGAAAAGTGGTCATCCTTCACTGTGGTGTCTGCAGAGGCATGGCCACTGGTGGGGAAAGGAAAATAAAACATTACGTTATATGTAACAGTCAGCATCTCATACCCATGCAGGAGGTATCACGTCTGTTGTTTTCCTGTGCTGGATGGTTCTGTGTTAACTTGAAAACCCTATGTTTTGAATGCTTAAAATTTATGAAATTATCTTATGTATGTAAGACTAAGAATGCAAGTAACGATACAACAAAATTATACCTCCAATTAACAGTATTGGGATGAATTCAATCTCTTTGCCAGTGAAAGTATTGCCTTAACTATGACAGAATAAGATGGCAACTGAGATGGCACATGACCTGCTACATATGATACAATATCACAGTTACCGGTGCCACTTAGACACCACCAGAGTCCCTTACCCATCTGGATGCTGCAGTATGGACACCAGTAGCTCCACAGCCATGGCTGCTGCCACCATGGAGATACCAGGTCTGGTCACTGTACACTGCTGGTCCAGGGTTCTATCCCTGGTCGACTGGACAAAGGAACATCAAACCCTTCACAACAAGTAGTAATTAAGGATTGTAAATCTTTTTTTTCTCCAAGACCAGGATAAAATCTATGGACTGTCATCACTGGGTAATGCATGGTACATGTATATCTGTAGTATGCAAAAATACTAGTAACTAGTTAAAGTTATAACAGGCACTGTACGGCAAAATATGCATACTCCATGTGATCAACTTTTAAGTGTCTTACAACCTGTTAAAAGTTTCTTTCTACATTCATTCAATGCATAAACCCCACACCTATGGCTGGGTACATGGAGCTACCCCACATGTAGAGGGGAATGTGTAGATCCATTGTAAGGTTCAGAAGGACAAAACACGAAAAGATAAACTCAGGAATGACATTGTCTACTGTTGTTAATTTACTAGTAACTGCAGTTTCACCAAGTATGAAGCCAGCTTACGTTCCCAGGTGCAACCACATCATTACAGAAGTAGCACCCCAGCATGTGACCTGGGATGACCCTTCCCATGGTGCTGTGCATGGGCGCCGTGTCCGTGTCGCTGCCTCCCTCCGCCTGGTCAGACAAGGGGCGCTTCAGCCCGTGTCGACACACCATGTACGTGTCAAAACCAAGCGCTGCATTGATCACCAGCTGTCAACAACAGGGGACAGACATTGAGGAGGCTCAGTAATAAAAAGATCAAGGTAAAAACTGCAAAGCACCCTTATAACTAAATCCAGTCCAGGGACTGGTAAGCAATAACCAAGTTATAAAAACCATGCATGTTGCTGATGTTAATATCAACCAACCTGTTACTACAAATGCTGTAAATTATCATGCATACATGAGAAAGTGGTACATCTCAAAATGCATTTTCTATCACTGGTATCTTCTTTTCAGTTGGTTATGAAAGGTACTGGATGCCCATCTCCATAAGATTTTCATTGAATACTCTTTTCTACAGATGTACCAACCAGACCCTGTCTATCGTTCTAAATTATTGTCAGTGTAATCTCTTACCTTCCCCCTGCTGGCGGCCATGACGGTTGGCAGCCACCTGCTCTCCCGGGTGTCCATCAGCAGGAACACGGCATCATGGGAGTCCAGCAGCTCCTCCAGCCGCTGCACGTCCTGTCTGGTCTGGGACACGGCCTCCACAGACTCGCCCACTGGGTGGCCGGGCATGGGGATGGACAGGGTCACTCCTGTCGCATTCTGGGGTACAAGGGCACATGTCATGTCAGTGGTGGATATATTGTGTTTTAATTTTGTCATAATTGTTAATTCAGGCTACCATTTTTGTGTGTCTGCAATACAAATTGTATTGATGTATGAAAAACTGAAACCATAAAATCATAGAGACTATGAAGATCTCTCTACTCAGATTCAATAGAATACTAGTAGATTCTATTAGAAATTTATATTTTATATCTTGGAGAAAACACTGAAGATGACAAAACTGAAGTGAAAGACTAAGTTTACCTACATCAAATGTATGTTAGAGCTACTCAGAGATGATGAAACTAAGCTGGAGGACCATGTCTATGTCCTCACCACTCCAGGAAATATCCTCTTCAGTTTCTCAGCAGCTGCCTCAGACTTGGACTTCCCTCCCTGTAGGCAGTCCTCAAACTCAAACAGAGACTGGCGGACAGGGTTGGAGTACGATACCTTCGCATTGTCCACCAGGGTGATGGTACGCACTCCCCAACCCTGCACAGGGAAACACCAATCAATTTCATGTTGGACTGTCCATAGTTACCTTATGATGTTACGTGTATTTACAGTACATTTGTACTAACTTATCTGCAGCAATACAGTAGTCAAGGGACAAAATTGCAGAAACAATAAGGATGTTTTTCTACAATGTCTCATTAAACTGAATAGAGGTTAAAATGGACTGATTGAGTGCCAGCACTGCCAGGCATGAAATACGACAGATCCATCTATATCAAAATAGCGAATGCTTGGCTACATGGATTTACATACCAGTAGGCACCTTGCAACATTACAGCCCAGAGTTCCTGACCCCAGTAACAGACATCTAAAGCTGCTGATCCTGTCCAGGTCCAGCGAGGGCAGCAGTCTCCACCGCATTAACTTCAGGTTCAAGTCTACAGCTGACTCAGCTAGTCTGTGGGGTGGGAAGATTAAAATACATTTAAATGTTTAGATCTTCTACAATCATCAGTGGAAATTATAAATTAAAGTCAACATGATGTTGATTTATTCATATACTTGTAATACTCTTGTATGTACAAAATGTAAATACATTTCTGACCTTAAGATTTGTATCCAGAGCAAAGTTAATATTCTGTAAAAATTCAATGATTAACCCCTCACCTTGTAGGGTCCATACTGGCACTCAGGTTAACCATCCTGGGACCGAGCTTGCCTTTTTGGTTCTTCTCCCATCCAACACACTTTGGGCACTCTGTGAAATGAAAATTTATTTAGGCCGAAAGCACAGGCAAGGCTACAGTAACACTTCTTAATTTAGGATACAACAGCTTTCTCCTTTTATTCTCCACCTTCCTTTTCTGCTTTCTACCATAGAAGTAATTGTGATGAAATACTGGATACCAGACAGACATTTTGTACAGTCCAACAATGCCCCCTACCTGTTGGACTTTGCACTGCAGGCATGTGGACCTGCAACAATAGACTGTGTGACGAGTCTCTCACTCCTTCTCTCACTCGGTCTCGGAAACACAGAATCTCTAGCTCATCTATTCTTTCACTCCTGCAGAGGAAAAATGTGTAAAACAGTACATGTACATGGTGAATTTACATTCTTTTTCTGGAAAAATTCTAGAAGTAACAGAAATTTAAGATTCCCCACCTCATCGGAGTATCTAGACTTTTTGTGAATTTCCCGCTGCATATTCCACTGTCACTTCCCCCAGGATGCAGGGAAACCATTTTGACCTCCAATTTAACCTGCCTGTCAGTTTGCAGTTACATCATTTTCACAAGCAAACAAACAAACAAACAGACAAATACACCAAACACAAAAGTTATATACACTGAGGTATTAAGATCTCTATAATAAAGGCATGTCCTTACCACTTGTAAGCTATGAGTGCCAGCAGGTTCCTGAGAGGCCAGCCGGGATGTTTGTCCAGAGTACACGGGTCACAGAACCCAACTGTCACCTGTAACATAAGGAAGCAATGGAGATGTTCACACCATACACTGAGCAGCTACAACATCTGTCTCTAAGCTTAAAAAAAGTAGTATCAATGTCTAATGTTATAAACATAACATAATTTAGAGTGACATTTCAAATAGACAGGGAAAGATAAAAAAAAGAAACAGACCTTCCTCTGGCTGCCAAAGAAAGCATCCCAGTCCCTGAGGTTTCCAACCGTGAGCTCGTCACCTTCTCTCTTCACCAGGAAGAAGGCGACCTGCTGCCCTCCCTCACACAGGCTGTCATAGGACTGCTGCAGACTGGAGATCTGGGGGACAGGCCTCACATTATTCATCTGAGCTGGTCAGTTACATGTGGAACAGACACGCCAATTGCACCCTTCTCTCAACCCGGGATGGCGATATTGACTTCCAACAAACTTTGTCCCTTTGCTGACATCAAACATGCAATAAGTTACGTGCCCTAAGTGATTGGGTCAGATAGCTGAGAAAGATTGAATCAGTGAGTCAAAAATTCCGGTGAGTCTAATTTTCTTAAGTTGGAGACCAGTTTAACAGGCCTCGCATACACTACTGTACAAATGAGTTCATAGAAGAAGGGGAATTCCCTAGGCTAGAGTACTGATACATGTATTCCAATACATATACACTATTTGTCAAATGTTTGTACTCGCCTGTTTTTCTGAAAATGCTGTCGTGATGGTGACAGGTTCTGTTGGCATGGTGATGTTGTCAGGGTAACACAGAGCAGGAAAGGCAAACCAGTAGTAGTAATAGTACTTCTTCAGGTCCTGCAGCATTAGACAATGGTCACATGTCATTTCAAAATGTAATGCAGTCTTTAAAAGTTTAAGTTTAACAACTGAATCTATCCTTGAATTATGACCTTTCAAAAAGATTTCATTGAACAGTAGACAGCACAACGCATGACTGAATACTCACAGCAAAAGTCAGTAGTAAAAACCTAGTCAACAGGGAGGGGTTCTGTAGGGCAGCTCCACTGGTGATGTCTGACCAGATCTGGAAGATACCAGAGTGACCCGACATTAAAAACTGCTTCCCAAAGCACAGTGACTTCAGTTTGCAGTATAATACAGTGTTGTCTGCAGTATAATACAGTGGTGTTGAATTCTTGAGCGGCAACAGTATTCCAGAAAGCAGCACAGTACTACAGTACATTACTAGCACAGCATTTAATATTATCACAAACAACATAATACCTGCTGTGCCACGGCATCTATCAGAGCCTTCTTGTCAGATTCCTTGAAGGCCTCCATGGTGTTCATGTTATGCAGGGTACCATATGATAGGCAACATCTTGGAGGTGACTTGTAGTTCCTGAGAATCGAACAAAATTTAGGGAACTTTGTTTTATTGCAGCTATAAAATTAGCAACAAAGGACACTACATGTAGCTACCATCTTCACCAAAATAAAAGATGAAAGCATCCTTTATTTCTTAATAGTACTACAACATTATACATATGAAAATCTCTGGTACTTTATCATTACATATATTTCTATGATACATACATACTGAGAATGATAAAACTTACTCATCAAAAGCGTTAAACTCCAGGCTCATCCTGCAGGGCAGGCCTGGTGCATCACCTGTCAGAGTAGAAAACTACACGGTAAAATCTCTGTTGTAATATTGTAAATCAAGAAAGAAAGAAATGGTTGTCAATCAAAAGGAAACGAGCTGAAGGAGTCATAGATTTGTATCTGCCACCTCAATATTCTACTGGTTATCAAGTAAAGCCAACTATATCCGAGTCGACGGCTACCATGAAGTGAATTATACTAGTATCATGTTTACTGATCACACTTGGGCTCGAACTATTCGAGTAGACTACCACACTATAGTTAGTATCTTACGATTCCTTACCGTTATAGTAGAAGCCATGGATAGGCCTGGGTCGATCGTCCAGCCTGTAGACTTCTAGCTTGTTCTGTGTGAGTTTGTGCCAGAAGCCGGCGTCCAGCGCGCTGCCGAAGGGGGCGAACTGCAGCGGGATGGGGGAGGCGTTACCCTCGGACATTCTGACACTTGGGGAGGGGGGCGGGGTACTGCTGGGCGGCGGTCGATAAAGGTTGAAATTCGGCACACAGTTGTCGTTTGATACTTCTGGCAGCTTGATCTAGACTTTAGACCTCTAGCTGAACCAGAAAACCACTCAGAGCTGATGTTACTGTGTGATAAAACGTATTTTTCTCTTGTAGACGAAGAAGTTGTTGTCGTCTTGTGATTACAGGTGAAGGTGCAAAGGTCAAGAATGTAGGGATGAACCATTAACGCTAGCAAAGGGCTTTCCCAAAACAAATAACAACAACATCCCCACAGCAGTTAAGTCTTTTTAGTCTATAGAATATATGTATAACAATGAAAGTAGAATCTGAGCCTCGTTTGTTGAAAAATACGCATTTCTTTGACTTTTGATAGTTTTGTTTGTGATTATTGGTTTGTCCCCCTTTAGTGATTGGTCATGCTGATGACCCGAGGCGACACCGCCAACATGGCTGCGCGATTTGAAAGTCTCTTTGTTTTAGAGCAAGTTTGAACACGTTCCGCCGCCTGACGCTACAGAAATACCAGAAAGAGGCGTTACACCGTAACGCCACCACACCTTCTTCCAATGTGGTAAACTATCTTTCATAAATATTAGCGAAAATGTGGAGATTTTCGGTACAGGGACTGATCTTTTGCGAGCTCGTTTTGCAAGCTGTTGTTTTGGCGACGACGCTTAACTTCGAGGTGAATTCTGGAGATGCGGAGAAGGGCAGAACCCAGCTAGCCGAGATCAGGAAGAGAAGTGAAGACCCCAGGTACGGGACATGTTGGACCACGGCCCTGGCGAGGGTCGAAACCGGCTGCAAACGGTTAACAGATGACGAGCAGAGTCGGATGGCCATAGCCTTTGCGAACTGCCATCTGGCCAAGTCAGGCAAGAGAGATTACGCGTGCAAACCTGGGCAAACCATACAGGAGTGCACGCAGGATATGGATGACTTGGCTTTCTCAACCTACACAGAATTCTTCACGCATACGCAAAATATCTGCTTCTTTTTGCAAAACCAGGTAAGAAGATGGCGTCCCTTTTTTTGTAAATAATTAAACATCAAGCGAAAGCTCTACTCTACTCTGATTGGCTGTTGGAGATAATTGCTATTGTGTCTTTTGATGATTAAATGTTTTGACAAGGTTTTTGACACAGAAGTGTGAAGAGGAACTGTTTGTTTGAATGTTGACAGATGCTTTACAAGTGCTTAAAAGTTTACAAAGAATTTGATTTTGCATAAGTTGCTATTTCAATTTGTCATTATTTCGTCATCAGGTCTGATTTGGAGCAATTTTCATTGTTAATGTTTTATTTTCATTCATAGAAATGTCTGTAAAAATAATATTGGAGGCAGATAACTTGACAATGTAAGATTATATTGAAAAATACTAGAAGATTTGAAAAATGTAATTTTTGGGGGAATATGGGGGGGAAAGTATTATCCAATATAACCTGTTCTTTTTTCTCCTAGGTCTGGCAGGAAAGCACAGAAAGAACTGTCTCAATGTTGGCTGACAACTCAGACAAAGTAGCACACAAACTGGAGGTAAGAAAACAAGTATACTGGTAGATGTTTCATACACAGTATAATATAACGTTACTAGTAATTAAATAGTAAAATATGCAATAGTAAAATATGCAACTTTTTGCAAAGTGTTATGTATAGGGATTGAGAACCAGATTTTATAAGTCGGTAAAGAATACACAATTCAGAATCACTTAAGTTAATACCAATGTATGTGTACTTTCTCCCCTCAGTTGACAGCAGAGATGCAGGAGATGGTCATCGCTCGACAGAACGCCTCTCTCAAGAAGCAAGAAGACATCTTAAGACATGAGGAGGCCTTGAGGAAAACTCTGAAGAGCTCCACTGAGAATGTACAGGCAGCCTTTGATCAGATGAAGCAGTCAGCCAGGGAGCAAAGGGCTCTGTTTGGGGAGGTAAAAAATGCTACATGTAGTATATGTTTCGAGACAACGAGAAAGCCCAAAAAGCAATATTCAAACTTTGGTAACTCGTACAGTCTTTAGAAAGTTTGAGACTTGAGTTACTTATATGATACAAAATGTCATATAGATAATACAAACAACTTGCAAGGATTCAGACTCATTCCAAGGATAAACCATGCTCAGAACAAGGATTTTTTTGTTCCTCAGGTATTTGGCAGATTTCCATGATGTTGGAGAGTTTACAGGGTTCTACACATTGTTAAGTACATGTATTGTAATTTGTAAATGTGAATGTACAATGCAGTATGCACTATTCACAGTTCATGAATCTTAACAAATCTTTTCCCCCCAGGTCTTTGGCAGGATAGAAGACCTCCAGGCCATGGTGCTGGGAGAGTTTACAGGGTTCTACACGCTGGTGTTCATCACCCTGTCTGCCATCATCATCTACATGCTGACCTCCACACCCCGCACCAGCAGTGCTCGCTTCTGGATGTTCCTCATCCTGCTGCTGAACGCCGGCATGGAGAGACTCATCGCCAACAGAACTGTACTGGAGACAGATGGGCAAAGTGCTACTGTAGGTTACTGGTATTTTTTAATAGCAATGTGTAAAGCTTTGAATGTATGCACACATCATTGGATCACAACTCAATGTCAATGTCACCGATGGAAAAATGTTGAATGTAATAAGAAATGTTATGAAATGGTTATTTTCTTTCTTTATTTTGAACACACTGTTATTCTTACTTGATTGAGAACACATCAAATTATGTTTTGTGTAAAACACATACTAGTAATCAGTCATACTAGCTTTTAATGAGTAGAAATAGTAGCTACTGTTTTGTAAACTCTGAACACTCATACATGTATCATGTGATATCAAATGATTACCCCTCATTTCCTTTACCTCCTAGGAGCTTGTGTACGAGCGTCTCTGGTTCTGTCGTAAGTTCTTCTGCATGGTTGCCATGACAGTGCTGGCTGTGTGTAGCTACAGGTACAGTCTGATCATCTCTTCATACTACAAACCAACATCCTATTTGTGATGATCATTCTTGGACAAAATGTATTCATGTGAGATGTGTACAAGTACCACAAGAACACAGATTTCTGTTCTGCTTTCATAACTTTCTTGATGATAATGAATGCATATTTGCATGTACGCATGTATTTATTTTTTACTTGTATGTTTCAGGTATAAAGACTACAACAAGATCAACAATGACCTTCTTCTGAAGATAGAACAGCAGAACAAACAGCTGCAAACTGCCCTCTGCAAAATACGTGGGTTTCCTTACTAGACTTTTCCTTTCAGTTTTCATTTCAATTTACCTTCAATCATGCATTTTATTTGAAGGCTTGTTACATTTGTATGGCACTCACATGTTTTATTGTTGTCCCTACCCTGACCCTGACAGAGACCAGTCCCCTGGGCATGTTTGCAGGAGGAGGAGATGGTAAGGATGAGGTGGATGCAGGGGAGAGGGACTTTGGTGAGGGGTGCTTTCCTTCCTTCTGACTGCAGTGTGTCTTTAGCCTAAACATAGCTCCTTACGTTTTTATACATGTGTACTTGCAAACAATCCATGTGTGCTTATGTGTTGTGCCTTTTATACTTGCAACAATCAAAGTGCACTTGCTGTATTTGTGATGTTCAGTCACCTTACCTTGGTTTTGCTAACATTTGTTGCACTATTCTGTAGCTTGTTGGCTCATGTCCACAGATTTTGTAACGCTTCTTTCTTTTTTCCTTGGGGTGACAGAAATTACAATACATTTGAATTTGTGTTGCTGTATCATTACAAGTAGGAGATATGATCATACACAGATTATTTGTTCATTGTGCTTGTGTGTTGTTGTGACAAAAGTACCAAAGTTCCAGTTTAAAAGTCCCAGTCTGATCTCCATGTACAGATATATCAGATGCAGATGACGACACCTTCCATGGCTCCGATGACAGTGACTCTGATGATGCTGAATCCATGGCAACAAGCAACAGTCGCAGGACGAGTAGGACAGGTAACACCATCTCATTACTCACTGAAAAAATTGAAATCCTTCAGGAAGGAATTTTAAAGGTATCCAATGAAATCTTAGGATGGCAAAACCAAAAATACTCTGGATGAGAAAATCTGTCTGAATCTGATATTTCTTTGCACATTTTCGTCATCACTTCATACTTTGGAATAGCCCCAAAACAAGCCCCTTTATCTATGATACCGCCAATAAATGGCTAGAACCAGTCTATGATACAAAACAAGCAACCGTTTTCTGTCAGCGATACCACATTTTTTTCTCACAGATATCTGAGTGAGCTATATGGGATAGGGTTACCGGGGTAATGTAACTTACTACATTTAAAGAATGATGAAAAAATTGACTTTGAAAATCCAATTATGCCATCCTGACATTGCATTGGATGCCTTTATAGGTACTGTTTCAAATATCTCAATGTTGTTTCACCTCAGTAATCTGTAGGCTTTTCTGACAGGTACCCCAGTAGTGAACATTGCCACAGGACTGTTTACACCAATCCAAGCTGACCAGCCTCACGTGGCCACAGTCAAGCCAGAAGACTTCCAAACCCCCGACAGACCCCCAAGCAGAAACAGCGAGGACAGTGCAAGTAGGTTGAGATAAGGTTCCTAGTGAATTCTTTCATCAGTGACAACTTTGGAAGGGTAAGGATACTAACCTCCAAATTTTCGATGGCTATCAATCCATCTTGTTCACGGAGTGGCCTAATCTCGCGAGAGCGCGAGACTAGGCCCGAGACTTGCATCGGTCTGTCTCTTCAATGAGGTTGAGATAAATAACACAAATACATCAATGAAGGTTAGACATCCAGGTAATGAGATATAACAAGGAAATTGTTGATAGATTTTGAACTGTTAAAGATAGATTTTGAACTGTTAAACATTTCTAGTACAGAGTAGCATCCACTACTTGTAACAAAAAGTAGTGGACGCTACTTGAAATGTCTGACAGTTTTCAAAATTTATCCCGTTGCTTGAGTAACATTTTCGTTGTGTAGATAACACAAATCAACAGGGTAACTGAAGATGTTTGTTGAAAAAAGTTGAAAATAGCTATGGTTTCAGTGGATTTCTTTTTAAGTAACTTGTACCATTTGTTGAAGTGGCTGATGCTGTTGCAATTGTTTTGCATTGCTTCTACTGCTGTGAACATTGATACATGTTGTAACTTAAAGTGAATGTTTCCAACTGTTCTAGTTGGGTCAGGTCCAGAGCCAGAGCCTGGTCCCTCGTCCCCCACTGTACGGAGGAGAATAGGCCGACCCAAGGGTAGCAGGAACCACAGGGAGAGTACACCCAGCATAGAGGACAGGGTGGGTGGAAAACATCGCATTTTTCATCATTTTTTACTTTGTAGAAGTATGGTCAAGCATGGAAACGTGAGGAATGTGACACATGGACATATAACGTTATATATTAAAAACACTACAGGAGAGTTGTGTAGTCTTCTTCTGTATCGTGCTGAACTGTGCTGAACTATGTTTTTCATTGCTAATGATTTATTTTGTACTCCATGACATGTTCTTAAAAATTTCATTAAAATTTATTGAGTGTACCCTCAAAGCAGTAACTAATAAATGACCAGTGCTGCCACTTTGTGACAGAACTTGTTCCTTTGTGTGAAGTGAATGGACAGTGAACTAGGACACTATGCCCTGTCCATGCCTTCAGCTTCAGTTTTAGATAAGTTACAAACAAAATGCTTCATTCCCCCAGGTTGTGAGCCCTGGCAGTCGGTACAACTTGCGCACCAGGAGGACCCCCCAGCCCAACCCCGTCACCACCCAGGAGTCCCCCCGGAGCTTTGCGCGGAAGGTGCACACTCTCGCCCGCATCGCCAGACACAACAGCCACGTGCTGCGGATGACACGTGATGATGACGGTGACGACAAACCCACGGGCACCGTGCCCAAGTTCTTCTCATCAGACGAGGATGACTGAAGCGCACCTATCAATGTTAACCCCATGACATGTTTGGAAGTTGTTTTTTTACAACTTTGTACAGTCAAGCTGTGCATTGAGCAATTTGTAAACTGCAATCCGTTTTGAGCAGTATTGTTGCATGAGTGTTGCAAGGCAGATTCAATGTCTCTGTTCATTGTAACTGGTAACCCTGTGTACATGAACATTTTTCAGCATTGACTTGACTGTACACCTATCTTCATGCTGTGCTTTGTACATTGCTGGTACTGGTAGTGCTAACAGTTCCATAAATTCTGTTATGAAACCTTGAAGTTGTCTAATCGGAAGGTATGGTAAGAGTTTTACTTCTCATCTTAAGATATTTGACATTTCAAAATATGTATGAAGAGAAACAAACAGGTGTGGGCATTTGCTGTGACATTGTGCAAGTCTTATTTATTGTTACCCTACCCTTTCAATGCAGTGCCTTGTACACATTCACTTACAAACAGACACACAAACAAATTCTGTGGGAACTTCCCACTAGTGCCTGTTTAAAGTACTAGTGAGTTTTAAGTACTAGTTTAACTAGTAACTGTTTCTTGTGAGACCTTTATTGGTTTTTCAACATGTTTTCCTAATCTTCATTCCTTACAAATGTGCAATCTAACTAGTTTGTAAGTACTTACACTCTCAAAGGGTCCAACAGTTCTTTTATATTCATATAACCAAGAACCTCACTGCCAGGTATTTTAAGCATTTATAAGATCACAGTGGTGACAACTTTTATGGCTTGTTTAGACTTGTATGTTTTTAAAGTAGTTTGAAATGTTGGTTGAATAGGTGGATATTGGCATTAGTGTGTATTTTATTTTGTAGTTGAGAAAAGTAGTTCCAACATAGAGCTCATGACATGTAACAGTGCCTTTGAAAGGTTTGGCCTACACTGGACACGAACTATGAAATCCTATTTTAGAAGTTGTGCCTTATATCACCAATACTTTATCAACCTTTTATAGATATCTTTTTATACTCCATTGATTCAACATTGTTCACTTTCCATGGGACTGCATGGTTACTGTTGAGTAGACTTTTTATTCCAAAAGCATTTGAAGATATCTCTGCATCTGCTGCTATACCAAACTGAAGTATTCTTTAAACTTCAGAGTTAATGAGAAGCAGTACCCTAGGACTAATTTTTGTGTTCACTGATTCTTGTTTTTATTGTGATGGTGGAAATAAAACCATATTATCCATGATGTTTTATTTCATTAGTAGTCACTTAGATCCTGTACAAAAGTGCATTTTCAAAAGTGAATTTTCTTCATCATGTTTCAAGTTTCCAATGCCCTTTAATCCTCAAAACGCCTTCCCATACTCTTCATTACGCACAAGTCTATACAATCTTGAGAGTGATGTATGAACAGTCATACAGTGCAGGCATGCTATGGAGAAAATGCAAAGCACAATTTTCTTGGAGGACTGAAGCTTGGATTGGGCATGGTATGGAGCATAACTAATTCTCTATAAGTACCCCTTAATCTGTAAGGGTTTACATTGACATGTTTAGGAACTCGAACTCTGTTTTACTTTCCAGACCTGTCAGCAGTCCAGGCGAGCTTTCCAGGATGTCATCATTCTCACATGTCTGTCACACGGCTGGCAATGCTCCAACACACAATTCCTGGTGCATGAGTTAACGTAAGGCTCTGAAAGGGTTTTTATTATTACGAGCTGTGTGTAAATCCATGTACCACTCCTGGCCCGGAGATAGCAAATGCTGATTCTTGTATTTCCTTGTCTAGCCTCCATTACTCAGCAGATTCGTTTTGCAGAGTAGGCAGAAGTTTATTTCTTTAACCAAGGCTGACAGGGCAAAACACTCTGCCAGTATCAGTTACTCGCTTGGGTACAAAGACCTCAGAGTTGCCCTGCTTTTTGTTCAGCAAAATGGAAAAGCTCGTGGCCCTCGTCGTTTTCTCCTGTGCCGTCTCGGTGGCTCAAGGTCAAGTATTCAGCTGGGGCAAGTGCCCCGACGTCCCGGTCAAGTCCAACTTCTCTGTGGACGCCTACCTGGGACGCTGGTTCGAAATCGCCCGGTTCCCGACCATCTTCGAGAAAGGTCTGAAGTGTGTCCAGGCCAACTACTCACTTCTGGACGACAGCACCATACAGGTACAAATCATGGGAACTTTTTGTGCGCTTGGAATGTGCACGAGGGTGGAGAAGTTATGTACTTATGCAAACTATAATCAAAGCCTTGTCATAAATAGTACTACGTGTGCTGTTCAATACTAGCTCTGTGGGTGTATCCTAGGCTACCATATGCATTTCTGTCAGGCTAGAAATCGTAGGCTGCAATAACAGTAAGGATCACACACTTGAAACATGCCGTCATATGCTTATGTGTACCATTTGCGTACAACGTAATAATTCCAGTAGATAACATGAACATTAATTATTATACAACTTTTCACTCGGAGCTAACTGCTACAACAATCAAGCATTTGTAGATGAGTCAACACGTGTAAGTTTCGATTATAGCTCATCTTTAACTGATAACACCCTCTGCAGGTAGTGAACCAGGGTCAGAAGAAGTGTTGCGGAGACGAGACGAAGGCGGTCGGGGTAGCCTGGGCCCCGGACGCCGACGAACCGGCCAAGCTGCTGGTCCGCTTCAGCCGCTTCATGCCTGCGGGCCCGTACTGGGTCCTGGACACAGACTACAGCCGCTACTCCGTGGTGTGGTCCTGCGTGGACCTGTTCTGGGGCGTGGCCAGGTTAGAGCTGACCTGGATTCTGGGCAGGGAGCGTGCACTGGGTGAGTAGCACTACTGGACTACTGAGAACACCTCTCAGAACTAGATAAAATGTATCGACACGTCCACAGACAGGATATAGAGTTTTTGAGATGATTTCTGTCGGTTGGATTACAATGAAATATTTCCCTTTCTTAAGTAGAATTTGCCATTTAATTTTTGCTGCAAATACAAGAGCCAAAATGTAAGTCATTGCGACGCTCTAAGCGCAGTGCTACATGTCTCTGGTGCAGGCTTGGTTGATATTTTCCTATCACCGACTTTTCCTGATCGATAGTTCTATGGATCCCCTTTTTGAATATTGCTTATAATGTTGCGTCTTGTTCTGTTCTGTTATTTTGTGTCTTATGAACATATGATCTCCTGTCCACAGACGAATACCTGCTGAGGGACATCGTGTACGAGCTGACCAAGTTCAAGATCGATGCCGTTAAGTTCAAGTGGACGGACCAGAACAACTGTGCCGGCTCCAACTCCACTGTTCCCACCCCCATCGAAACTGTGGAAGTGTCCAATGATAGCTACTGGATCCATCCCAAAATATTTTAGTTCTGTAATCAAGCACGAGTTTTGTTCTTGACAAAAGAGTTACACGTAAATCTCGCTCGTCAAAAATTAAGAGCTTTCATCTAAAATGTTTCAGAAGATGTCCATCCTACTTCTTACACTCTGTGTCACTGATGGGCATGTCACTGAAATGACAAGACGCTTGAAATGGAAGCCCTAATAGCTTTGATCTAGTTGTAGCTACACCGTACTTCTATTTGTTGACAGCATCACGGTTAACTAGACAAATTTTGCCTTTATGTATATGCACCCTCGTTCAGCTTCACGTCGGGTGGTGCACTTCGGCTCCAATCCGCTACGAGTACATGCATGTTGAAAGTGCTTATTACATACGCAGTGCGTACATCTTATAACTCAGTGCTGATTTGTTGAAAACTCAATCCTTAAAGCTCAATTAAGAAAAAAAAACACCAATCTATGCGTGTTTGTCTTTTCTGTGTGAAATGATGAATTGTTTTTACCATTGAGTGTATTTGGACAGTTAAATAAATGGTCATATTTTTGTTGTTTTAATACCTTGGTTTTTATGGTATTACAGACCCGACGTACATGGAAATTGGCCTCCCCTACAGTACATATATATGACCTGATAAAAGCATTATAAGCGCGCTATCTCCACAACAACAAAAAGAGGATTCGTGTTAACCCAAATCGCCTGCGATCGTCCTACGATTGTCCGTGACGTTTATCTATAATGGCACCGGATACACGAGACAATGACGACACCGAGGACCTTGGGTGGGTGCCAAGCAGCCAGCTGATTCAAAGCACGACATCAGTGCACATCACATCAGCAGCACTTCCGGTGTCCGCACCCTTTCCTCCGCTCTTCTGGAAGATCACACCGACCCGAAGGCCCCGAAACTGTGAAGAGAGTCTAGCCTCTACCAGGCTTCTGGGGGTGGCTGGAAAGAGTAGAAATCGGCCAAGTAGAGATAACATGCCAAGGGAGTTCAGGTCCGGGAGCGGCAAACTGTACTTTCCAGCGGGCCTGAACTTCCTTGGCATGTTATCTCTCTATTTGGCCTTTCCACCCGCCTCCAGAAGCCTGGTAGAGGCTAAAGAGGGCCCTGAAACCGCGAAGACTGGCGGAAGACCAAATTACCCGAACCACATGTAGTATGACCACTTCCAGTATAGCTAGATACATATGTATTATAGTACACTGTCTGCCTTGTGTGACACACAAGGTTTTGTCTGTCACCGTATAACCGTGTCTTACAAAATCACAAAAGCTGTATACTACAGACCGGTTTCCATGTTCTGTAAACTCAATGCCATACCAATCGTGGCTTTGAGACGGTTTGTCGTTTGTCTTTAATATCTTGGTCGCCGCCACGCTGAGTTGCTGATGCCGGTAAACTTGGAGCTAACACGCGTCGCACGCAAGTCAGGGCAGGTGGCGTGGTGAGTTCACTTAATTGTTCTAAGTGTTTGGTACAGCCAAGAAGGTTCCTTGGCATAACCACCGTAAACAGCCGTTAAGGCGCAACACCCCAGGTTTGTACAGGAAGTACAAACTACGTAAGACTGATAGGACTGTAAGGTTTGATCCACTCACATCAGTGGCGTGGTGAGTTCACTTTCTTTGTTTGTTTGGTATAACCAGTAAACGGCCTTTTACGGTGTATACGTAACTCACCGTTTTTGAGCAGTGTGTACAAGATTAGCGGCGTAACACAGGACTGTACAAAGTTTGATCCACTCACACTGTCGGTGGCGCGTTGTGAGTTCACTTTTTTTCTATAACCCCGTAAACTGCCTTTAGGTGAAACACTAAAGTTACAATATGTACACTGCTGAGCTGCGTAATACAGGACTGTAAAACTTGAATTTGACCCACTCTCACGGGATGGACTCCTGCTCTTTACGGTAAGTGTAGTGGGCGTGGCCCACTAGACCTCCGACTTAACGCCCCATCCAAGAGGACGCCCCTACAAATCTGCAAGCCGATCCCACGGTGGCAAGGCAGTATCCATTGGTCAAGGAGTGACCATTAGGTGGCTACTGTAGGATCCGAACTCGGTGATTCGTCCCTACAGGAAGCTAGATACTGTAATTATGGGTTCACCACACCACGAAGTGGTGTGGTGAAACCATATTGCTTTTTCTGATGTTTCTTCTCCTTCTCCTCCTCCTTCTCCTCCTCCTGCCATATCTTTAAATGGATTCAGCTTCTTCATTTTAGGGCCTAAGGTCCTGAAATTTGGTATGGAGGTACAGTGGGCAAATACCCCTAGGCGTTTTTTAAATTATTGTGATACAGGCTTTTAGAATGGTTTTATTTGAGTTTTTTGGCTGTGTAATAGCTAATGTATTACTGTGTAAGTGTGCAGTGTTTACCACATTTGGACATGAGTCATCACAATGGCATGCAAGGCATCAACCAATAGGCATGCAGCTTTCCTCTATTCTCCTTGCTGATTGGCTGTTGGGATTTAACTGGCTTAACTTCATTTACACCTGCACAGAGCCATGCCATACTGACAGTATGTCTGTATTCAAGTGTTTTGGTAGGTATTTTAAGCTTTCCTGCTCCAGCATTGGAATGCGGGCTATGAACGCTTCTTTTTATCTTGAAAATCAACAGTTTGCATTATGCAATCCTAACCAATAATGTAGGGAATAGCTATCCAACTGTTGTAGTCTTAGTTGTATGTTACTTCATACTATAGTTATATCAATGTAAAGCATTGTTTTCCCTTGTGTTTCTCATTCTTTCCCTGCCATGTGGTAAAATGTGGTGAACCCATCGCTATATTTGCTCCAAAGCAAATATTGGCCTTTCTAGTTCACTTTATGTTCACGGTACAAAAATTTCACGGTCTGAGAAAAGTGGACATGTTCACGGTGGTGACAGTTGCAGGAAAAAGAAAGTCCAGGAATTTTTGTTAACTGTAATGATAAGTTCACGGTACAGAAGCGACAGTGAAAACAGTGAACATAAAAGTACAGTGAAAAAAAATCAGGAATACTCATTTTGACATGTGTTGAGTGAGGAAATAGTTACTAAGTGCATTTCCCAGGGTGCCTGCTTGGGATTCGGAATAGTATGTGAACAGAACCTGTGGATAGATCGGTGTGATATCGATATTTGGTGTGTGAACGTATCGCCTGTGGCTGGATTTATTCTAAACGCGTCGTCTATCCTAAAAACGCGCCGACAGATATTAGCCTGTGTTACGTAAGCTCTCTAGCTCGGGGGGTGGCAACCTTCGCCGGGGCGGGTGGCCGCCAGGAGCGCGGTTTAGTCAGGCTAAGCCAAAAATATGGTTAACGTTAACCCATGGGAAGAAACGTCAGCTCTTCTAAAATGAGCAGTGCATGGGCTCTAACTTTTCCCCGCCTGTTAAACGCCGTGCGAACATATACTTTTTACTGAGGCATATGATGAAGATTAGCGCTAGGGTGACCTATTGTTGTCCACGTGCAAACTTGAGTATTTTCTACTCTACAGCCTATCAGATTATGTCACTTTTGCACTCGAAATACTATTGTCACGAGACTGCGAATGGCTGGGAGGTACATGTAGTTCCGTCTCTCTAGACTAAACAAACTGGATGAAAAATAATTAAATCAAGAGGGACAATGACTTGCCAAGTTACCCTTACCGGCTGGCCGCCAAGTACACACCCTATTTTTGCCGTATTGTACTACTAGTATCTAAACTTAATAAACCCTTAGGAATGCATGGTGGAGGCTAGCTAGGGACAGTTAGCCAAAACATGATTTGAAAATAATTGAGTTTCTGTCAGATCAGCCTGCATAGCGAGCTTTGATATCTACTGGTTTCGGACGATCAGCTGGTTGCTGTCATGTCCTGATACGAGAGCTGTGGATGTCAGAAAATGAATAAGACTATGGCGCTCAGTAGTACGGCTAGTGCTTGTGACCTGTGTCAACAATTCTGAGTTGTTTTGCATTAGTAATTTTGATAGATAGGTTTACAACTAGATTATACAGGTGACAGACAAGCTTACATCCAGCTTAAGCATTGTGTTAGTAATGGTGAATAGCTTGTAGATAAGCCAATTCACCATAGTTTTCTTAGGCACACACCGTCTTTTTTCTCTAACGACGTTTCGGCATTTGCTTGTGTTGTTGGGTGAGTTTGCTGTAGAGAGGAGGCAAGACAAACACGGGCTGAGTAAACTTGACCGCGGAGGGTCTTGTTAAAATGTAACTCCTTGTTTTAACAAGAACCTCCTTGAAAGTTATGTGTAAGTATGTAACTTACATGCTTACATATTACATGACAAGGATTGATGCCCCGTCCGATCATAGTTAGCCGGTACACGTGAGTTGCAAGCAAAGGTTTGGGCTGTTTTAGGCGTTGTTGCTGGGCTGTACATCAGAGACATAGTATATTAGACTGAAGCCCCTGTCACACATTCACAAATTTGGCCTCCCGAACGCTGACCAACCATGGTTAGGGTCGGCTGGCGTTCGGGTGGGTCGGCTGGCGTTCGGTTGCGCCAGCCGAATGTTTCAAAATGTTTAAAACATTCGTGAGGCGTTTTGATTCATATACAAAAGTAGGCGTGGCCTAAATCTGGCCATAGTGCTCAGGTCGGCTGGTGTTCGGGGACGAATTTGTGGGTAGTTCGTGAAATGTGTGACAGGGGCTGATAGAGAGACCTGGATAATATACTGGGCTAACACCACAGGGTAAGTCCCACAGAGTTAGGCCAGTATATCCAAAGAAAAGCTGAAAAAAAGACCGACAAAACACACATCTAAAACGACCAAAACAAACCCAACCTCTGCTTGGAGGCCAGTTAGAAAGCCCGACAAAACGCGTACAAACGTATACTTGGAGAGTAAGTTGAAGGACGTCGTCCCTTATCGGTAACTAATTATTGAGTGGAAGATCTTTATTGTACATTTATGTTAAGTATGCTGCTCTGAATAGCAGTATTGTGTTTCTCACAGGCAGGCCCACTTGATCTTTGTGTTCAAGTTGAAAAGTTTATGTGTACATAATGTATCCCGAGGTTAGGGTGACAGCAGGCGAGTGGGTTTGATTAATGTATTGTACAAGTCTGCGACGTGACGATGAGGCGGTCAGAGGAATGCTAGGATAAAAACCTTGGTAGAAAATCTATGTTTGCCATAGTTTGGCCGGTGTTGCTTTGAGGCACAGGTCTCTCTATACTAGTACCACACTCTTTTTTCTTAATGCTTAATGCAAAGCCAAATGACCACTTCTAGGCATTGAGCTAGGTGACGCAACACACGTCTGACTATGCCATAAGATGGCGGTGAATGTTTATTTTGAAAGTTTGAGGATTGTATTCAGAAGGAAATCATGTGATTGGGAGGGAGTTCCATAGGTTTGCAGTCCGGGGAAAGAAACTGTTGCTGTAGAAGGACTTTGAAACAGGAATTTGAACGGTGTGCTGATTTGAACTGGAGGAGAATCTTGTGGCGCGCATTCAATATGTTTCCTCACTCACTCACTCACTCACTCACTCACTCACTCACTCACTCACTCACACACACACACACACACACACACACACACACACACACACACACACACACACACACACTCACGCTCGCTCACTCACTCACTCACTCACTCACACACACACACACACACTCGCTCACTCACTCACTCACTCCGGCGAGCTTGCAAGCTATTGATTAACGAGGCGAAATAAATCCGAAGTGCCTGTATGGCGATGTAGGATATGTATCTTTTGATATCCGCTTCTGATTGGCCAGAACCGTTGGCTATGTCAACATGTTCTCTTATTGGCCAATCAGCGACCTAGCGGTCTTGTGACTTATAAAACCACAGCTTGATATATAAACCTTCTCAGGGACAAACTGGAATCTAATCGCGCTACTTTCCCAAGTCAGGCGGACCCTCTGGGCATCGGTATGTACATTGTATATATTCCATTTCTTTTTTAAAAGTAATTGTTATCGCAGTTAGATATGCTACACACTGTACACACATCCACACCTTGTACAGTTATAAGCGGAACGGTTACTTGTAGCAACGGGATGTACTTTTTTGCCATTTCACTACGTAAAACACCCAGCGGTTGCTGCTTTTCGCGACAGTTAATGCGGCAAGTTATATTTTCACCGAGACGAGTAAGTCAACTTTGGACACGTACATGTACATGTTCTGCACGTGAAGCAGGCTTCCTCGCGTTCCAACTTTATTTGCGGGCCTGTTTAATCACGTGTGGTTTTCCGACGCCAACGCACGCTGCACGTGTACATGTATGGTCGGATTTTTCGCTTTTCTCTTGTACGGACTGTCGGACGCTGCTGTTCACGTTTGTAGCATTGCGGCGACCTGTTTGTTCGGCGATAACCTACAGCGATAGTAAGCTTGGACTAACGGACAGGCACGGTGAGTGAAATACTTGGGTTGTCGCGCTGGCACACCATTTTATGTAATTACACGTAAGACCTTTGCATACGGATGCTTGGGATGACCCAGAAAAGACGCGCGTGCAGCGCTTTACTTCAATCATTACCCCACAGCTAACAAATCAACGGCATTCCAGTCGTGATTTTCCCCGATAGCACCATTACTTGTTGCGCTGATGTGCAGTGTGTATTCACGATGTCATTGAATAATGGCAGTGTTTTCTAATACATGTATTTTATTTAGTAGTATGGTACTTATTGACGGTGAACCTCCTTCTACAGACTTGTACAGACACATGTAAAATACAACTAGTGTAGGATAATAACAAAATGCATTTCGTGTAAAGAGAACATAAAAGAATAAAATAGTGATAAATGGGGTCTATTGCCTGCATATGGTCATATATATTTGCGCACCGGTACCAGTTCATGCAACGTTCATACAGCTCACCAGTTACTATTACAATTGCAATATTCCAGACAATACAGCATATAAAGCATGCGACTTGTCATTCTTCAATAGCCCCATTATAAGGCGTTGAAGGTTCTGACGCGGTTTGCTCCGTCATGCAGACATGCAAGTTTTTATGTGAAATGAACGCCAGGTGCTTAACCCGTGGACTCTGCACTTGGACGGTGCGTACGTGGACAATGCATGGTCATATCTACGCAACCATGACTAGGCATTATAGAAACGTTATGCTTATACACGTAGAACAAAGGTACAACGTTTGTGTCAATATTCTGTGCAACCTTCACCGCGCCTGGTACGGATTACTGCCGTCATGAGCAAGCGTGACTTGGCGTTTTTTTTCTTATCTAGGGCAGTAGTGGAAGGTTCAAAGCTCGATCGGAACGGGGCACACTCACTGCGCTGTCCGCACACAGGAAGGGCTCTAACTTAATCCGAATGGTTTTATCTGCATCGCTATTGTACCCGGCCGGTTTCTTGTAGTCCCCTATGCAAAAAAAGAGGGGGATACGAGAAACACAATAGATGAACCGTCGCACCACACACGCATACATATACAGAGAGAGAAAGGGAGGAGAGAGGGGGGAGAGAGGGAGGGAGAGAGGGGGAAGAGAGGGGAAGAGAGTGAGAGATAGTTTAACACAGATGCATACACCGCGAAAAAGGGACTTTTCCCGTTTCAGGGACTAGGGTTGTTTTTTTCTAGGGTTGTTAGATAAGACATTAATTAATTATAAACTCCTCAGACGACAAGCTAAGCCGTTTATCTTGTTTTGTTAATTAGAAGGTGTCAATAAAACCAACACAGCGCGACTTTCTGAGGGTATTACCACAGTTCATTTTGTCATGGCATCACGTGCTGAAAGTGTGGCGTAGCGACGGACAAGGAAGGCGACTGGACCGCGCGTGTTTGTTTCTTTTTTTTAATTTTTATTCCAGGATGTAATCACCAGACGTGGTGACGACACACTCAAGTTTTTTCAACTTATATTAATGCCGCCACCAACACAGGGGACAAATACATGACAAGACAATACTCATTTACACCTGAGCTAAGTGAGGAAAGTCGTGTAAAGTGCCTTTCCCAAGGGCACAAGATCGGTGGCATGTCAGGACTCGAACCCGGGACTCTTAGTTCCGAGTCGCGCACTCTGCCGCTTCGCCACACGACCCCACGTTTGTTTCTTTGTTTGTTTGTGTGTCTTATGTAAGTTTTGTGTATGTGTTTGTGTGTCTCCCTGTGTCTGTGCATGTCGTATGTGTGTGGATGTGTACATGTATGTCTGTTCGTATGTGTAGGTATGTGAGTCACCCACTCAGTGTGTTTCGCGCGTGTGTGAACGTGCGTGCGTGTGTATGTGTGTGTTTGTGTGTGTGACCTTGTGTGTTTATGTGTGCACGCACAAAGCTCACGAAGTTGGTCTACTCACCAAATCCGTGAACATTTCCCAAAGCATGGTGTACAGAAGAAATGACGTTTCATAGCAAGCTAAATTTCTGCGCCTCTCTCTATTGCAAAACACACGAAAAGCACTGCGACTGTGCCGGATCCTTTAATACAAATGTACATCTGCTTGGAGATTAAATAGTTAACACATTGCAAACATCACAATTTATAATGTATGACACCTTGGGTCACTTTAACCATAAAGAGGGCGCACTTTAACCATAAAGCACGTGGTAACTTCAATATTGACATTGCATGGCAACGACAGGGTCTTGTGTACTGTTTGCATAATTGTAGTACTAGTACTTGTACAAGGCCTTATCTTTGCAAGGGTAAATTTATCTTCATAACAGACCACAGGTACAGATTGGACGCTATTTATGGATAGTTTTCGAGACTGTACTTGAGAATATTTGCGAAGAGGGTGTAGATTTGTCCTATCTACTTCACACCGTAAAGAACAGAAAAGTGTCATTATGGAATGTCTGTCTGTCTACATGTACGTATGTCTCTTTGTGTGTTACTGCGATTTTCGCAATATACGCAAAGCGGCGTTCCCACACACCCCATATGATACTGCTATTGTTAACACAACAATCACCTACAAACTGTGTGGGTAAGGGGGTGAAGTCTGCCGTCTCTGATTATCTTGTCAGGACGGTATTTTAGTTGAAACAACACGACAGCGTGGATTTAAAATAATGCATCTACCTGTTGTTTTGTTCGGAAGTTACGAGTTGATTAGGTAATCCTTATCAGTTGTCGGCGGGCGCCAGCCAAAAAGTTTGATATTCTTGTCACCATGGCGAAAACTCGAATGTCAACAAAATGCTAATTACTCATAGTGGAATGAAGGTGAGGTTAAGGCCATGCCCCCAAGCTGTTGATAAGATTAACACTTCCGAGACGTCAGTCTAGTCAAATCCGTACAATTTTGGGTCGTCATACGAGAGATCAAACATCTTTGCGTATCGTGTCATTCATTTGCGACGAAGATATTCGATTACAATAACAAGATTACCAGTTATATGCGCGAAAGATCAAGCGGTTGAGGATTCGAGGCGACATTTTTCCTGCATGCTCGCTCCACAGCAACTAGGTTTTCTTTAAGTACCGACCACACACACACACTGTCGGTTCTTTTGAAGACGCGATTTGCCGGTAGAGTTTGGCAACTAGAAATATTACCTACACCGCGTTTCACTCCCCGGTGAATTTGGCCGAATTCTACCATCCATAACCTCCAGAAAGCCTGGTGGAGGCTAGTTCTTGTGTCCCCGTTCCGCTCTGTGCAGAGCATAGGGGTGGTGCCCATCTCCATTTCTGTAGCCCTTTGGCCACACAGTTGTGCAAGCACTACAGCAGGGAGCTAGCCAGCTGGTAGTGTTGTGTGTGTGACCTTCCTGTACTCTTTGTCAAGCAGAGAAAGCAGTTTGTACCATTTTTAAAGTCTTTGGCACGACCCGGCCAGGGTTTGAACTCACGACCTCCTGGTTATAAAGCGAGTTCTTGTGTACATGTGTACCGATAATTCTTGTCCCCATTGTTATAGGACGAGAATGGCGGCCACTAACCACGGAGGCGCGCCCTCGGAGACCACCGCCCGCCTCCGGGCCCTCGGGCTCTCCAGTACCACAGTCTATGTACCTCCCGATCAAGCGTACATAAAGTACGACCAAACTAACGACTCAGGCCCTGAGTCCACCGTGAAGGAGAGAGTGATCAGGAACTTGAAGAAAAGGTGCACGTGTAACAAGGCCAGGGCCAAGAAGTTTCTGTTCACGATCCTGCCTATCCTAGCATGGCTGCCAAAATACCGCATCCGCGAGAACATCGTGGGAGACGTCGTGTCGGGGATCACTGTGGGCATCATGCGGATTCCTCAAGGTGAGGAAACTATTGTTTTTGGCGACGCCGTAGGGGCGAAGCCGATAGTAATCTATCAAACTTGCCATGTCATTGCTGTGACGAAATTGTAGCCTCTACCAGGCTTCGGGAACGGCTGGAATGAGTAGAAATTGACCAAGTAGACCGCTGATATGCTAGGGGAGTTGTTTCACGCTAAGAGAACAGTTTTGAGGCAAACTTTTGTCTTATCGATCAACTCCCCTGGTGTATCATCTAGTTGGCCAATTTCTACTATTGTCGACCGCTTACTGAAGCCTGATAGAGGCTAACGAAATTGCACCTGTACATGTAAATGTTATCGACCTTTTCCTAGTTTGATTTCCACAGTCATTATTTCTAATGGACAACATTTTTTCTTTGTTCTTGTCTCCTCCACTCCCAGGAATGGCGTACGCCCTGTTGGCGTCTGTGCCGCCGATTTTCGGCCTGTACTCGTCGTTCTTCCCCGGGCTTATCTATGCGATCTTAGGAACCTCCAAGAACCTACCTTTTGGTGAGTACTCACTGTCATAACTTCATACGCTCATGCACTTAGTAATGTACAAAATACACCATGCATCTGGACGAATTCTCAGACACTTATAAAAGGTTTGTGGGGAAGATTGTGACTTTTCTATCATGTGCCGTAGGTTACGATCTGTGCTTGGAGAGTAGTGTTTGTAACTTACCTCCATTAAAAACCGATCAAGCTATATGTATGGTAACTGTACACATGATTTGCTGGAGGAATGGATGGGTGGGTAGGTGGGTGAATGGATGGATGGATGGATGGGTGGACGGATGAATGGACGGATGGATGGATGGGTGGGTGGACGGATGGATGGTGGGTGGGCGGATGCATGGACGGATGTACAAATGAAGTACATCGTAGTAAAAAAGGATCCATCCCATATACCCACTAGGCACCATGGCTGTGGTGAGTGTGATGGTGGGCTCGTCAGTAGAACGGCTGGTCCCGGAGAGAACAGAGCTCCCGGCGGGCCTGTCTCTAAACGCGACCGGGTTCAACTCCACTGACGACTACCTCGCACAGCTGCAGATAGAGGACAAGGTCGCGATCAGCGCCACGCTAACACTCATGGCGGGAATCTTTCAGGTAAGAACAACAGCTATCTTATTCTTGATAGGCTATCTAATTACCTCTCCATATTCGTTCAAAACTCCTACAGGTGGCTAGTCCGGGCGGGGAAAAATACAACCCCAGTTCATTTGGTTATTCTTTTCATTTATTCATGTAGTTTGGAATTGTAGTTTGGAATTTGCAGTTTGGAATTTGTAGTTTAGAATTGTAGTTTGCGATTTGTAGTTTGCAATTCTAACGTTAGTTTGCGTTTTGGAGTTTGCAATTTGTAGTTTTCAGGGCTTGATAAAGACAGCGTACATGCACAGCTCATTAAACCCTTTTGCATGTAATATTTCTACTTGGTTAAAGAAAGTTTGACTGAAATTTGACCACATGGTACTGCTGTCCTCGCAGCTCGGCATGGGTATCCTCCGGCTGGGGTTCGTGACTATCTACCTGTCGGACCCCCTGGTCAGCGGCTTCACGGTCGGAGCGGCCTTCCACGTGGTCGGAAGTCAGGTCAAGTACCTGCTGGGCCTGGACATACCGCGGTACAGCGGACCGCTATCACTGGTCTATGTAAGTACTGGTACTGTGTTACGAAAATAATGGCTAGCTACATTTTGGTGTCTTTTTTTGTCTTCATCCTTTTTCTCGATAGACCGCCATACGTTAAGCAGTGCATGTAACAGATCAATTGACAACTCAACTCAACTCAACTTAAGTTACTTGAAGAGTCTGTTTATGTGGATATTCAACTGTTCTTAGTTGTTTCATGAGAGACTGTTGGAGACATGAGCATGTAAACATTCACAAACGCACACACATACACGCATGCATGCACGCACGCGCACACACACGCACGCACACACACACACTCAGACGCACACATATGTATATATACACGCGCACGCACACACATCCAAGCACACGCACACACACACACATACACACACCACACACACGCGCACACGAATACACACACACACGCGTTCACACACGTGCTCACACACAACTCCCCCCCATACACTCCCCACACAATCACACACATACTTACACAAACAGAGCCACCTTTAACTAACCGTACCGCGTTTTAACGCTCCCTGTCCCTACAGACGTTCATTGCCGTGTTCAGCCGCATCGTCCAGACCAACGTGGCCGCCCTCATCACCTCCATCATTTGCATAATCGTGTTGCTTATCGGGAAGGAAGTGAACCTGAGGTACAAGGACAAACTCCGCGGCATCCCCATCCCTACAGAACTCATCGTGGTAAGTACATAACTATATATTCAGACTGATATATACATATACATGTAGTATTAATCGTACTCTCTAAAATAGTGGTCGCTTCATAGGTTGGCGCAGTAATATGTGACGGCTAGAGGTTTAAAAAATGTAATGTTCTTTTTCAGCTGATCATTGCAACGTTGATATCATACTATGCTGACCTGAATGGAAACTACGGTGTGAAGATCGTCGGTACGATTCCCACAGGGTACGTTGAACATTTACATTTAGTTCATTAGAATCGCCTTCAGAAGTTCAACACAGTAACAGTGTTACACGGGCATCAATTCAGCACATATGATGTAAACGACCAATAGCAGAGAGGAAAACAATCGGACAATGATGCTTTTAAGTACAATTAAATTTTGTCTAACGTCCCTATCAATTAACGAATTCAACAGCACTGTATTTAATTATTCTCTGAAAGTTTAACCGTTGATTTGGTTCTACTGACATGGTCTTCAGGCTTCCTGTTCCGAAGGCTCCAGACGTTTCCCAGTTGCTGTACGTCCTTCCCGACGCCATCGTCCTGTCCATCGTGTCGTTCGCCGTGTCCCTCACTCTGGCCAAGCTCTTCGCCAAGAAGTACGGCTACAGCATCGACGACAATCAGGTAACGGGGAGGGTCAGGGAACGCCGCGCACGTGGTGTCCAGTCTGTTGCGTTTGGGGCGGGTTCTCTTCGGGGCCAATTGCTTCGGGGCTGTAGGACGCAACTAGGCTCCCCGGTAGGTTTTGCACGACGGGAGTTCAATTAACTCCTAGCGTACAAATCTCTATTAGGAAAGCTCCTACAGGTGTTACACTCCCATCGGGTGGCCCATTGAGCTGAACGGGGGAAATCTATTAGAGCCCCGAAGACAGCCCGTGCCAACCACGATAGACTGGATACCAGGCCCGTGGTGACACTGGTGATGACATAAGTAAGAACACTCGTGGTGACACACGTGACGATACACGTGGTGACACTGGTGATAACATGCTATGTTCTCACATGGGTCCAGAAAAGTAGGTAAATGTCAAAACATACACAGAGGAAAGTTACACACGCGGTAACACCATTGTTCTCTTGTGTAATACAAATATCGGTCATGAAAAGTGAGTTACTGCTTAACCATATGCTTTTAAACACTTAAAGAAACGCTGAAACACGTCAAAGAGAGATGACATGTAAATATTTGTAGAGCGCTTGTACTTATGAAGGGTACACCTGGTGTCTGGTACTGATCGTGGGCGCATGGCACCGACCGCTCGGTCCGAGGAGGCAGTTCCGGACCGGATGTAGACCTTTCAGAGACCAATGAGCGACCAAAGCTGAATTTGTGTGACCTAGCATGATTTCATAAGCTGAATATAATTCAGTATGTAAAGGTATGGTGTGAAAGACAACAAAACACACCAAACTTAGGACATACAATTTTTTTTTTAAATTCAAATTAAAGCAGCAATGGAATTCGTTTGAAGTACTTGATTTTTGGGCGATCAATATGCAATGGTCGCTAGTTACTGGGAATAGTGTGTTTCTGGGCGCCACCTGCTGGTATAAGTCAAGTTCACCCGACCTTTATGGCTGGTACCGGTGTGTCTGACTCTTGTGTACATTTGGAAATGAGACAAACATTTCATCACAGGTGCGAGTGACAGGTTAACGACCTAGTCAAAAAGACGTGATTTAAGTGACCACAGTTGGTGATGTATATATGACCAATTATGTAACCAGTCAAAACACATGTAGCCCCACTTGTAAGTTACATAACTAGTGGAGCTACATTGGGATGTGACAAACAACATTCCTACCTTCGATCGCCGTGTCCTAGTTCTACATTTGAGAGTTGTTTGTACCACACAGGGGGCGGCCGGGCAAAGATAAAGCTACTTCCGAAGATAAAGCTACTTTGAAGATTACGTAAACATGATTGACGGTAGCGCTTCTGATCAGACCTTTGCCCTCCGTGTTTCCCCAGGAGCTGATAGCGTACGGCGCCAGTAACCTGTTCTCCTCCTTCTTCTCGTGTTTCGTCGGCTCCACGTCCATCTCCAGAACCTCCGTGGCTGACGCGGCCGGCATGAAGAGTCAGGTGGGCTGGTTCTACTGCTTCAACCGTTTCAATACAGACTGTGAAATATAACTTGGTGCAAAACAAGGCAAACTAGAGCTAGATGTATGCAAATTAGAGCTAGATGTATGCAAATTAGAGATAGATGTATGCAAATTAGAGATAGATGTATGCAAATTAGAGATAGATGTATGCAAATTAGAGATAGATGTATGCATTATGATGCTAGGAAAGAAACCATGATATTTGTTTAAGTTAGGGATGAGCTTGTTGGTAAACAATCATTTGCTACGATTGCTATCAGTCAATGTATATCACTTTCGTCTGAAATAGTATATGTATGCACGGCTAAATACGTTCACGGGTCAGGCCAACGTGTATTTATTTGATGTTTTTATGTTTTTCTCCACAGTTGATGACGTTTGTGTCTGCTGTGCTGTTGCTGATGGTGTTGCTGTTCATCGGACCGCTGTTCCAGCCGCTCCAACAGGTCAGTACACGCGCACGGCAGCTTTCTTGGACACCAGATGGACGGCGACAAGTTCTTTTTAATGTATTGCTCTAGCCATCTCTTTACAAACCGTGGTTTGTGTCCATTGTGTCCAAAGTGTCATTGGACATTTCTCTAAAAATCACGCAATATTGTTGATTTTGGGTATTGTCTTGAATTTCATCGAATGTGTTTTGAGATATTAGCTGTAAAATCCATTGGACCTTACTGAATGAAGAATCATCTTACAGATCATATGTTATGTATTTCAATACTTTCTACACGAAATGTCTATCTGTATACTTCTAGAACGTATTGATTGCTAATGCATCCCTTTCAGTGCGTGCTGGCGAGTATAGTAGTGGTGAACCTGAAGAGCATGTTCAGACTGTTCACCGAACTCAAACCGCTCTGGAAACTCAGCAAAGCCGACTGTGTAAGTTGTGTTTCATCTAAACCGGTGTATGTGATGGAATCAAATCTTTTATACTAGTATTTCTACCAGATGTCTGAAAATAAAATAATATCACGACGTTACATTATCTATAACGCTATTGTAGTTATTTTCCATGTTTTAATGATGTGTGGCCACGTGCCTAAAAGTAAACAAAAATGACAATGACAATGAAGTTTATTGCATATTCATGCCCCAGTGGGTTACTCTTAAGTTACAAAAAGGACTAGGCAAACTGTGCCATGTTCTAACTATATCTAAGCTGTACATGTTTCTTCTCTCTTCTTTAGACATTTGTAAATGAATAAATAGTTGACATAAATGAATAGATAGATGAATCACATATGAACATAACAAGCGCCGTCCCGTGCAGATGGTGTGGGTGGTGACGTGGCTTGCCGTGACGTTGCTGGGACTGGACATCGGGCTGGGTGTGGGGGTGGGGTTCTCTCTCCTGACCGTGGTGCTGCGGACACAGCGCCCCTCCACCACCCTTCTGGGACAGGTCCACAACTGTGACATCTACAGGGACCTGGGCAACAACCAGGTAAACACACCAACAAGCGACAGCTTAAACAAAGCGCATGCCGAATTTCTACAAAGCATGTTGCACTAAGAACTCACAAGCTATCTACAAAACAACGAACAAAATGTTGAAACTTGTGTGGGATGTTGCCTCTTTTGTTATACACGATACATAGCTTATCATCGTGTTTTTTCCCCGAAGGTGAGGTACTATCTGCAAGGAACTAAAGAAGTACTGCACTTCACTCATTGAAGTTTCTTAGACTGGACTGATATTATAGACCACTTTACTTTGTACAGTCTCGGAGCCTTGCATATGGTTGTTACAACCATAGAAAGCGAGAACAAGATGATGAATGTGATTTATGTGTAAATTTCACGCCGTAGGTGAAGGAGATCGACGGCATGAAGATCTTCCGTCTGAACATGTCTCTCTGCTTCACCAACTGCGACGCCTTCAAGTCGGCCCTGTACAAGAAGACGGGTCTGGACCCGGTACGCGTGCTGGCCAGGCGGAGGAAGGAGGAGAAGGCCCGGAAACGGAGCGAGAAGAGCGGGCAGATGGGCAACGGCGTGGCGAACCCTGGCGTGGAGGAGGACGATACAGCTGTGGAGCAGAACGGCGGGCCTGTTAGCGTGATTCACAATGTAAGCAAACTTTTTTTTCAGAAGAACAGTGAATACAAATGAAAGGACACAGACAAAGTGACTGCGAACTCAAGTTAGGCACAGCTTATATTCTCTCAGCCACTTTTACGTAGGAAAATAAAGGTATTTTACAAGATCTAGACGTTTGAAAAAAACAAATTTGAATTTTGGTGTTAGAGGCCTATTAAGTATTGTCTAGTCATGGAGTGGGATGGTAGATTTAGTGGAAATGATCTAACCAGCGTAATATCACACTGTCCAAGACACTTCATCTTGCTTTAATTTATTTGTGCAGGGCGAAGTCAAGAGATCCCCTGACGTAACGACTATAATCCTGGACTGTGGACCAATCAACTTCGTGGATTCTGTTGGAATGAACACGCTGATACAGGTAATGTTCTAAATTAAATTGTTGAATATCCAAGTATTTTTTAATCTTGGCATTTGCCATAGTAAACATTGGCAATTTAACAATTCCTACATTTCAAACCATGTATTTTGTGGGCAGCAATGTATCCCATGGACCATGGACTAGCCATTGGCTAAAGGTTTCTTGATAAAGAGAATAATGTACTGTGCACTTCATCACCATGAACAACTGTATTCCAAACTGTGTCTTGTTCTTCTCTTACAGGTGTATAAAGACTACAAGAGTATCGGGGTCAGCTTTCTCCTGGCCCACGTAAATCGTAAGGATGTTCTCAGCTTTCTTGTAGTGCTTAAAACTGATGTCCACTGAGAAGTGAAATAACAGGATTAAATGATCATAAATTTGCCATTCCATGCGCAAAATTGAAGCCTATCTGAATAATTCTGCACCGTCTTTTAAATAGTGGCAAAATTCTGAATTCTGAAAATACATCTGTTAATTCCTTACCGTTTCAGCTGATATCCGGGCACAAATGCAGTCATGTGACTATTTTGAGAAGGTCGGAGGTCAGCGGCTGTTTGTGAGTGTACACGACGCTGTGTTGTTCACGGCGAACAAGGTGAGATCAGTCCTCTTTGTAACTAAGCAACCGTCGTTTGCTTGCTACAAAATGGATATGAGTACCTTTTTAAAAATTACTGATCTTAATGTTTTGATGTTTCAGGATCTGTCGGCCCCAGAGAGCACAACTAGAAATGAGGATCTGTCTACATCAGGGAGGACGACTCAAAATGGAAACCTGGAGATGGTGACCCATGTTTGACGACGGCAACTCGAACGAAAGGAGAGAGTGGCATCTTCAATACGGAATAATACAGGAAGCCAGTAAATGGCTTTATGGTAGATATAAAGATAATGTTTACTGCATTATAGTTGTTTGCTGTATCTCAGGATACATGAAGGAGGTATTATATTTAAATGAGTTAGTCTCCGTAGGCTCTACAATGAAGGAGTCGCTTTTATCAGACTTATCAGTACTCGGTCTCATGTGGACCGCCACCATACAACGACTGATCAAAATGAAATGTACACGTCACCTAAAGAAAATTAGATTGCATGTTTTAACTGAGCTATGTTTTCAAAGAGCCAAGATATGATTGTAAAAATAATTAATGACATTTCTTATGCTGTTAATATGCTGTTAATATGTTGATCATGTTCGTGGAAATAAAAACCATCTTTGAAAATATACAGTTGTCAAAGTCTTTTCTTGTATATTGGTGGTCCTGGCGGTAAGATAATTGCAATATTTACAACTGGTGGTAGACGATACATGTATGGCTTACAACCGCGCGCATGTATACACCACTCACTGTCCCAGTGCGGCATGTACATACGCATGCACTACTTGAAGCTAATCTACACAGCTGCTACATATTCACATCCATACGGGACGCGACAGTCTCGATCCTTTGCACATTTACTTAAATGACCACATTGAACGGCAGTACACGAATACAAGGCCACGTGGTCGGTTACCATTACGTACAGGTTCCTTGATTCCGTGAATGTCTTACTTTATGAGTATATTTATAAGTGTATAAGAGAACTTGTGAGAAACTGTAGTTCACGTACATTGTAACCGGAACTCTCTACTCTTCTAATACGCATCTCGATGATTTGTTTGGATAAATATTCCAATATCTATATAAAAAAAGAGAATTAAGGCGTTTGTAATGTGATTAAGACTCTGTTTTTGGATTGTGAATGTATTACTAATAAATTGACGTATGTTTTGTATGTTTCCACAGATATCTGATCAAGAATGTTCCGACTCGTGTTTCGTATCGCCGCCAAACCTGCCTCTGCGGACGGCTCCGTGTGCACACGGCTAACACGACAATTAAACACTGGATCAAGACAAGGCCAAGGTAGGATTTCATTCAATAAGAGATAGAGAGACAGGGGTAGAAAGAGAAACGTTAACGAAAAAGTCACAATCAGTGTTTGGATTTTTGGCATAGACAGGGATTGTACTTCAGTACCAAGGACAGGGGTAGTACTTTTGTACCAGGGACAGGGATTGTAGTCCAGTACCAGGGGCAGAGATGAGTTTTCAGCACTAGGGACTGTGGTCCTTTAGCACTAGTGACAGGAGTTTTAGTTCATTACCAAGGACAGGGATCGTTTTCCAGTATCAGTTCTACTTCCCTACAAGGAACAGGGATAGTTCATCAGCAAAAGGGACAGTGATTCCTTCAGCTCTAGGGTCTTGCCAAGTGATAAAGCCACTTTAGTTCTTATCACCTGAACAAGATTTCCCCAACAAAGTGTATAACAATACCTAACACACGATCGTTTCTGTTCCAACAGCACACGGGGTCTGCACAGGGCAATGTCGCTCCAAGTCACAGACAACATCCAAACTGGCGGCGCTGGCTGGGTTTGCGGGGGTCGGCATCATCGCAGGAGAAGTTTGGATCAGCAATAAGAGGAAAGGTGACAACGCACTGGCAGCTAAATATCTGAAAGAATTAAAAGGTAAAACACCTTGCGCGACCTACATAAGAGTGCAGCACTCTCTATAGCTTGTTTACTTCTTTGAATTAAGATGATAATATGTCGGACAAAGGTTGCAAACCGTATGCAGTTTCTATGTGTGTCGCAGGATGGCGTTCTTGTATGCATGTATCACATTTCTATCTTTTTTTCAGAAAGCCACTCCGCATCTTCACAAGTTCCCAGCGAGGACAAGGAAGCAATCACAAACGAAGAGAAAGCTCTGAGATATGACATGTCTCATCCCAGAAGGGGGCTGGCCGTTATCATCAACAACAAGTAAGCCTGAAATCACTTGTCACAATCTGTCCCGCCTTAAACCGCACTTTGGCCTGTTACTGTTATTGTCAAGCATTTTATGTTTGTTTAGACTGTCCTAATTGCGTTCGGTTGCAGGGGGGCGGGAGGTGATTTTGACAGTTGATTGACACCTGAAGGTGATCCAGCAGGCACCTTCAAGAAGTGGTGTAATACCACATCAAATTACATAAATGCAACCCGCTCCACAGTGCCCAAAATACTTTCCGAAAGTCTGAACTTAAAGGTCACGAAAATTCAAAGAATACGTCTCGGAAAACTGAAATCTCCGATTTCTTGTCCTGTTCGTGCAGACACTTTAACGCCAGTACCCAGATGGAGATGCGGGAGGGGTCAGAGGTGGACCTGGAGAACCTGTCCCAGGTGCTGCTGGATCTGGACTTCGAAGTCCGCGTGTACACAGACCTGACGTGCAAGCAGATGAGAAGAGTTCTCCGACAAGGTGAGAATGTGGAATGCAATGTTAAAGCATGGCAATTAGTACATTTCATTACATTTGCCCTGACGGAGACCTGGCACCCTCCGTCTTGCATCAGACAGGCCTCGAATGCTGCGATTATTCTCTGCATGCGTAGAATTAAGGTAAAGGTCCCATAGCCTTTGATGCCGTAGGGGCATTGGATATCCACTGTAGGACACTGCATTTCAAAGGCAGAGCCCATCCCTCTACTTCCACTAGCTTTTACCTCAGTCTGTAAGTGCGTCTTCCCCAAGGCACTTAGTCAAACCTCTAACTAGGAAGGCAAGGAACAGCGTGCACGGTAGTCTAGCCTAGCCACTCAACCATCCGACGCTAATACGATGAAAGCCCTCTACTGAATTCTGAATTGAACAGCCTATAGACATTCGTAAATAGTTGGTTGTGTAAAAAGAGTATCTTTATTCAGCCTATTAGTTGGGTGCCCCCCTATTTGTATGCCGGGGCTCACATACTCGCTTGGGAGTGAGTTTTGGGGCCCCTGCATACAAATAGGATGGCACCCAGGCCACAGTTTATAGCCATATACTAACCCCACGCCGTTTGTTCCCCAGTTGCTGATGAGGACCACGGCGACTCTGACTGCCTGCTGGTGTCCATCATGAGTCACGGGTACAAGGGCGAGCAGGTGTACGGCGTGGACGGGCTGGTCAACGTCGACAAACTCTCCGCCTACTTCAGGGGCGAGAACTGTAAAACTCTCATCGGCAAACCCAAACTCTTCGTCATTCAGGTAAACATGGTGGAAGACTGACAAAAGATTTATTTGTTGATCATGATAATGATACACTCGGTGTCGTTGATTGCAGTATGTATGTACCAGTGCAAACCTGTACAAGTGACCGCATCTACCTAAAGACTATTTGGCCAATGTACATGTGATCACTTTTGGTGGTCCCTCAGATGATTTTCCCATTGACACAAGCATTAAGAATTTGTCTACAGTGACCATTTGTCCACAGATTTTACATATGGGTCTCTTGAGTGGTCTTCTTGATCAGTTTTGTCTAAATTAGACTTTTCGTTATTACTTCTATTTGGTTCCAGGTTCCTTCGTTGCTAGAAATCACATAGTCGTTACAACTTCAGGCAGATTTGAAGCCACAAATTATGTCAAACAACGTGTCAGCTAGGGTTTTTTTATGTTTCTGCAGGCATGTCAGGGTGAGAGGCTGATGGAGGGAGTGACGCTGGCGTCTACTTCCTCAGACAGTGACGTCACCCTCCGTCCGCAGTCACAGACTCTACCGTCTGGGGCGGACTTCCTGTACTTCTACTCTGTGTCGCAAGGTGGGGCCTCTCCTTGGTGCTGAAAGACTAGTTATGCACTTTACACACTTGGCTACTGAAACTTGTGTGGTGTTGTGTGGAAGTTTCTGTCTTTATGATAGACTAATTTATAGATAGACTTCATTTCACAAAAATTACACAAGGTAAAACGTATCGGATCTATATTAATATAGCGACAGTATTGGAGTAAAGAAAGTACCATGCGAAGCGGAGAATATAAATATTTTCCTTCATATAAGAGACAAATAAAACCTCAAACTCTTAAAAAAATGGCACCACTTTAGCTTGTTCATACATTGTCTATTGTTTAATTAGATCCACATGCACAGGACAATTATTCCAAAGTGTCGATCTTCTCATGCGACTCTGTTGTCAATTTGATCGGTACAAATGCTTATTTCTAAAGAATCTCCTGCCTTTTCAGGATATTACTCGTGGAGAAACATCCGGCAGGGCTCCTGGCTGATCCAGGCCCTGTGCAAGGTGCTCCGCGAGGATGGGTACTCTGGGCTCGAGATCATGCAGCTCTTGACCAAGGTCAACAGACAGGTGCGGTACTGATGCAGTCACTTCACACAGACAACATATTCGGATTTTTCGGATTTAAGGACTTGTAAGTTAGACTATTAGCTGGTGTGTTAAGCAGAGGGGCGGTTATATCGGCTATACAGATACAGATCGATTCACCTTTTCCTGCTTCTTTTCTGTATGGACATATACAAAATAAATGCATTTTCTCCACCTAAATGTGACGTAACGGGCTGTGTTACTACTGTAGAAGGGGTATGGCATCGATATTTTGCAACTATGACAATATTTCCAGCATCTGTTCCTCTCATCTCACTAGCCTATTTCTTCTGTATTTGTCCAGGTTGCGACCGAGTTCGAATCCTTGTCCCCAGATGAGTCATTCAACAAGAAGAAACAGATCCCGTGTATCGTGTCCATGCTGACTAAGGAACTCTATTTCACGCAGAAGTTACCAACTCTAGTTACAACAGAATCCATCTGACTCTTTTCTACTGGACACAATATTTTTCATTTTTTATTGTTGCTGATACACACTACTGTCGTAAAATAGTATGTTTTGTAGGGGAAGATTTTGTATAGTGTAGATATATATAATAGCATGAGGGGGGGGGGGCAGTCAACTGTGCCAAATCTAGAGATATATATGAATACAGACTGGGTATTTAGAGCAAATACTGGCTTGTTCGAAATGGAAAACATGTACCCGTCTGCCAGAAGAGATAGAATCTAGAATGTTAGTGATGCGAAACAACTACAAGGTCCAAATGTTTCCGGGTATATAGATGAAATATGAAGATGTCACGATGAATTATTTCTTAGTAAAAAATGTGAAATAGATAGAGATTTGTTAGAGGACGAAGTTGTAGAGGTAGATGAATTCAAACATTGGGTCCAAGGCCAGTATAGGTCCATCAGTTTTACAGCTCTGCACGGTTCCATGTATATAATATGTGCGGGGTCGTCATCCGAGGAATCGACGCATCAAATCCAAAGAACGATCGAGGAAGAACATTAGTCTCACTATCAATCTCTTCAGCGCCGTACAAGCCGTGGTACCCAGGCGCCTGTAGATGCGGGTAATATACGGAGAGGACCTATCTGATCAGACACACGATTCACAAGCAACTGGCGCATTGCTGGGGCGGATTGATCCGCAAATAGATTGTTGATTTAAATAAAGTATTCATTACTTACCTGGCTTTCAGACAGTTTTATTGTTTAAGGTTGATGCTCTAAATCTAATGAGAGGCCATATATTCGAGTTCTGTCAGAAACTATGTATATATTGGGCTAGGCTGGCTACTCTGTCCTATCCTTGCAGCCAAGGGCTGAATTGTGAGGAGTTTACAATTAATGGGGCTGAATCGCAAGGTTTGGAGCGGCTGCCATTTGCCGCTGACCTCAATACGACCCCATGTACGACCATAAGGTTTGAACCACACACATCGGGAAGGACTCCAACTATTTTCGAGTAGGGTCGGTTTTTCAATTTGCTCGAGGTGTGGCTCTCCTCAATTGCAAACATGGACATCTATCTAACGTCCTATCCGTGGGACGTCCCTAACTGAAGCCATTTCCAATTCAGCGAAGTGATGAAAGTCGTGCAAAGTGACCTTCCCAAGGGCACAACAATATTGCCATGTCACAGATTCGAACCCAGTACCTCTTGGTCCTGGGCCAAATACCCTAACCATTAAGCTACACGCCGCCGCATATTATTGAGAGATAATTAATACCCTCGCGTTTCTGCGCTCATAATGACAGTACTATTACTGCTGGGAGAAATTGGAGACGTTCCAAGACTTTAAAGATGAAAGTGAACTTTAAAGGTCCTGCTGGTACAACACATCGACACAAAACTCAATAAAATTTGAAGACCGCTGTATCAAATTAATACTTGAAAAGGCTGTATTATATTCTGCAGTGTGTACATGGCCTCCCTGTAAAGCAGCATGCTCAAAGCTTAAGGGCAAGGGCCCACCTGGCTATACAGGAGTTTACAAATTTAATAGATGAATGAATACATCTATGATCTACTGTGTTCACTTTAAATTGTGCATGCACATGATAGCATTGTTATCAAAGAACCGAAAAGAGCTACCAAGGAAAGATGGATGGCACACTCTGTGATCACGGTCTGTGGCGCATGCCCTTGTCCTCACACGGCTTTTGTACTTAGTTAGGAGGCATATATCGACGTATGGTTTGCTATTCTATTCTCTTAGGGGCGATTTGTAGACCCGGTATAGTTGCGGGTGTGTTTGGTCGATAGACAATTATACAGGCTATACAGATACAGACACAGATATTGAGCATGTCTGTACTTGAAAAGTTGGTCAGATTGCCAAAACAGGGCTTTTCTTTATCAAGGGATTGGGACTTGGCACATATTCCACTGACACAATCTTCCACGGCATTCTCCTTTGTATTTAAAATAGAATGACTTATATAACTAAAGCATCCTAGTGGCCACACGGCTGATGTCATTGTAAGACTTTTGTACATGACAGGAATGCAGGATTGGGACCGTGCACGTTTTAACATTTCTTAAGGACATTTTTCGATCTTTTAAGACAGTTTCCAATCTCCAGTTTTGGACTCTTTGTAAAGAACATCGAGATTGTCCATGATGTACGTAATGGATCAGACGTCAAAGTGCCGAGTATTTTCTGACATCCAGTCGTATTAACCAATTTCGTGCCAGATACAATCTTATTCTTGGCCATTCTCAGATTGCACCTTTTGGCTTAAGGATCGATATTCTACAGGGCAAGTTTGCACCTAAGGGCAAAGTACGTGATTCTGATCTTCAGAAGTGCAGCACATGCGGATGTTTCCCCCCGTAGCTTTGTTCCGTCGATAAAGGTTAATCGTGTGTGTGCCCTTTCCAAATCGATGTGGACATACCGTGTTCTCCTTAAACAAAAGCTTTATCGTTCGAGGGCGATGTTGAATTGTGTGAATGGGATTTCCCACACCGCCCAAACTCTGACACTTGTGTGTTGCCTTTGTAGCAACGTTACCAGCGCGTGTCTCAGGTCAGAATGTCTATAGGGACACCTTCTATACCCCACGCAATGTAAATATACGGAGCTCAGTCTTTCAGAGATTATGTCGGTTTCAGAAGCTGGCGTTTTTGTGCTCCAAGTGGAGTCGATATTCCTTGTTGAGTTCCCCACATCCAATCAGTTAAGCCTGTGAATTGACGGGCTGATCAAAAGGCGTTACAGGAAGCACCGCAGATACTTTTCACTTGAGGTGGTTTCACCGCCAACCGGACCTGCTGAGATTAAAGGCGTCTCGTCGGAACTACAGAAGGCTGGCTCATGCCAGGTACAAAGTCCTCATGAATGCATGTGCAGGCAAACTGACGACGCGTGGACTCAAACTTTCAGGAGGATTAAGTCGCAGGTATCTTTATATCTTAATATCCTTACGTCTAAACTTCAAGAAAGAGAGAACACCTTTGCGCGTAGCCACCTTTACGGCGCCATAATTCCAAACAACAAAAGAGGTTATTAACCTTTACAGTGAAGATGTGTGCCCAGACGCACGCCGCCCATCAGTGTATCAGCCATGTCCGCAGGCCGCGGGCGTCTAGTCCACGTCAGGGCCAGACAACGTACTTCACAGATCTCCTGAGAATTCGGTAAGTTTACACCTTGTCCCGAAATGCGGCGGGAGCGAGGTGTTCCAAGAGGCAAATGTCAAGTCAATACGTCTAGCTTGATGGGGGAAAATCGTACATGAAAAGGCATTTGCTCCTGATAACTGTTAAAGGAACACCTTTGACCAAGACAAGCAAACACCCTCCTGTACGTTTGCTAGGTGACTAGGTGACAGTCTAGGAGGAAGCCAACATTCTTTGGAAAAAGAAGCGGAATACATAAATGTAGAACACGATAAGTGTGTGTGTCCCTGTGTGCGTGTGTGTATGTGTATGTGTGCGTGTGTGCGTCTGTGTGTGCCTGTGTGTGTGTGTGTGTGTGTGTGTGTGTGTGTGTGTGTGTGTGTGTGTGTGTGTGTGTTTGTCACTGCCTGTGTATGTACGTGTATGTGTCTTCGTGTGTCTCTCTGTGTATGTGCGTTTCCTCCTTTTCTTCTACATCATCCCTAGCCTTTGTACACCTGACAGTTAAGCTGTGCTGGAAGTTTTCTTTCTCTCCTTTTCCGTGAAAAGTTTTACTAGTAGACAGTTGTACTTAACAGTCTGCACGCCCGGAAGTCCCACATTATACCGTGTCGACATGCCTGACAGTGTATGCATAACCTGACCCCGGGGGTCTCTACCGGAATATCAAAATTTACTCTTCAAAGAGAGTTAAGACGAAGAAAATGGTCGTGCGTCAGGACCCCGGTAAAGTTCGCGCGCTTGGCTCGTCTCCCAGGCCCGCTCACGTCAGAGGAATGCTCATGAACGTCACGGATAATTGCGGGATTACATGGTGTGGGAGCGGGGAGAAGGAATCTGCAGGAAACCATCAACCGAGGCGTGAAGAGCGCAGGAGTGATGCCCCAGTCTTCTTATCTTCCTCTTCCTGATTCTTAGAGAGAACTGTCGCCGTGACCGTGACTTTGTAGAGAGAAGAAACTCCCAAACTTGTATGCGTTGAGTGTTGTTTGTATCTGTATCTGTGGAAGAGTGCATAGTGATTTCTTAGAATCAGTGTCTTACTCGGAAAAGGGTGGGGTTACAGCCGGCGTGAATGGATCAAAACTTGAAAGTCAACAGGTTTGTTCCGGAAAAGAGTTTCTGGCCCTTGCTTCTCATATTAAAGTCCTTGCCCACAGTTAGTCAACTTGATATCTGCCTCAGGGAGACTGAGAGATGCTGCTTTCCTCTTGTTATTCACGTCGTCACCTCGAATGGCCTTCATGATAAGGCCTTATTACGTGGCGACCTTCAAGTGTATCCCCCTCTTCTACTTGTTGCTTAGTCGACTGATTCCAGAGTACCACCGGAAACGATAAAACCCCGTTTGCAAGCGCGCTTCAAGTCCAACTTGTCCTTGTGCTCTGAGGATAGTGTCGTGTTAATGATATTCCAGTAGTGACACTGTACCTGTGGACAGAATTCAAATGTAGGCTTACCATGCCGAGACGCCGCATGTACAAACATAACCTTACACCTTGTGCCCCTCAATACGCAGTCTTATGTTCATAAAGAGTGTCTACGATTTCCAAACATTTCTTCATATCGTTTCTTCATATCGTATCTTTTATCAGATTTAGTTAAGAGTTACTTCCTGTCTAGCACACGTAGATCGTCTCCATGCTGGAATAGCTCAATCACGTATGACTCAGTGGCCTTCATAAAGCAATATTTCTTCACATCTCATATCGGATTTAGTTGATGGCAATTTAGACTCGCTGTCTATTATATTCTCTTCATGCTTGAATGGCGCAATCATATATGACTCAGTGGTCTTCATGCAGTGAGGTGGATTCGCAAGTTAACAGAGCGTCAAACCCAAAGCCTTTCTAGCAATGAGAGGACATGTAGTCTAAAGACGGACATCTTATACTCAAAGTCTAATAGATTTTTCATGAGAAGCCTGTGAATGAGATTTCTCACAGCACCCACACTCTGAAATTTTGAAAAGCTTTTTTATATCATATTTTCAGTTTTCACAAATGTAAAACCTATCTATAGCCAAAAATGTGGGTATAACCATTGGGAATAAGATGACAGCTGTGAAAAGGAAGTTAATCTGGCGAAGTTCCTGAAGCTGGAACTTCTACAGACACCTTCAATACCCGAGTACACTTGGAACTCGTATGTATACAATGGAGCTCGGTCCTTGGCATTCACAGAGATTATGTCGGTTTCCGAAGGTTTTGCTCATGTTTTTGTG